ATGATAACATTAAAACAGCTCCCACTATTTTTTTCTCATCTAAACGTAGACTTTAATAGACAATACCTTCTAGATAGAAACAATTATTAAAACGAAAACATGTACATAGAAAACAGCTTTTAGAACAATAAAGAAAAAGAAAATATTAAAAGATAAACCTATTAGTAGGATAAGACCAAAACATTGCAAAAGTAACCATAGTGTATTAGTGTGTAATGTCCCCGTCCTTCGTCCTTCATGCTTCATCTTCCATTATCTCTATCTTTCTTTCTCTCTTCCCCTCTCTCTCTCTCTCTCTCTTTTCTGCTAGAAAGGCTATCATTTGTTATTATTTCGATTATCTATAAATTGTTTGTGTATATACACCCATGTTAAATACAACCTTTTGGTAGCGTAGGGGGAGGGGAGGGTGTAGGATTACCTAAAGCATTTGTATACATTTATTTTCTAATTATATTACAGAGCACTTGTAACTTTTTTATTCTCAAGGGGTCTATAAAATACAAGCTATGCTTTTTTAATAGAATTCCTCCACTATGTTTTACCACTGTGCCAATTAATTTAAACAATTGAATAATCATTTGTAAAATGCTTGGTTAATATTATGTTATTGAATTTGTATATATTTCATATTCATTTGATTATGTTATATCATGTGGAAAATAAAAAAAACCTTGAAACCTACTTGACAATTGTCTGCCAAGTTTGGTAAAATTTCATGATTTCATCACAAAGTTTTGTCAAAAATGCTGAATTTGTTATGCAATGATCACATTACACTGCGTGACATGCTTGTAGTACATTAGCGTGGATGACAATGGGGTCAAAATGACCGCAATGAAATGCCGTTTGAAATGATACCATACATGGTATATAGTATGTCTACACAGAAAATTTTGAGTAAATCGAAATTGAAAGCAGGTCACAATTCAGATTACCAAGGGTAAAACGTACTTGCAATGACGTCAATTGGTCCCTTTCCTATTTTTCTTTGTCTTGAAATTTTGCAAATATATTCTGGGTGGCCAAACGCAGGACATCTCATAGCCAGATTTTAAACTTTTTCAAACAGGACTTTTTAGGCGCCATGTTATATCCTGCATTGCAATGTATCATACTTTATGCGTCACATACATATGTTAGTCCGTTAGCATGCAAGGCCATGTAGGCCTAAGTAAATGGAAAACCATACATGTTTAGCAATGTGTGTCTTGATGCGTGTCGTGTATAAAGGATCATCTAATTGTTTTATTTATCTGCTCAAAGAAATAGAAATACGGGCATCAATGCATGCATATCGTTCTACAATTGCAGTTCTAGTTTCCTACAAACCTCTTTGAAGCACTTTTCCATAATTATACTGTTGTACTGTAAGAAAATTGAAAACAACGTGAAAGTAAGAACTTGTACAAAAATGGATGAACTAATTTTGTTTATCTATGATCAAACTTACCACATGTGGTCCAATGAATGCAAAACCTGCTACAGTGTGTGCTGTCACAGAATTGTTCACAGTCAGCACAATCGGCTCTGATGAAACCCTGTCCTTCACCAAGGCTGCTACATCTGCGTCCTGACTCTCAAAGGCTACATCAACAATGAAAGGTAACTTTCTATGTATGCTCTCAACATCCATGCTTAATCCCTGGAGCATAGAGGTCATTACATGGGTTGCAATACTTTTGTTGTGTGACACAGTGAAGTACAGGAGATACCTGAACTCCTCCTTCTTTAGCAGCACCACTTGCTTAATCAGCCTGTTGAATTCATTACGATCCGATTTATACAGGGAAGCAAGATGGACTCCAGCCATGTACTCCTGAAACAGTTTGTGAGGGAAGAAGACTGGCAATTGCACATGAGAATTCCTCTCATGTGTATCCATGTCAGCTGTAATTCTGTCCTCCTGAGACAAGATCCCGACCCGACAGGCAGTATCCTTGGATTCTATTTCTTGGCATGTTTGGAAATCATCTTCACCGAAAGTCAAGGTATTTTCTAGCAGACCATTGAAGGCTTGTTTGGCAATCGGTCCAAGGAGCTCATCAATTTTTTTCAAATAGTCAATAAGTGAGCGGCTGCCTACTTTCTTCACCTCTTTCTGGGCATAATGTTCTTTTAGAAAGGCAATCATTTCTTTGAATATCTGAGAAAAAGTTTTCAGTGATTTCATTTTCTTTATTTTTTGCTTGTCCTTTTCTTTCCACATAAGACACAACATGGCTACATATATAGGATAGGGGGCCATGTTTTCAGATATGACATCATTATCACTGAAGAATTGGATAAGCTGATTTGCTTTATCATCATTCTTTGGAAAGTATTTGTGAATGTAAACTGACAAATTCTCTCTGTTGAAACCCTCAACATGAATGAATGTGTAGAGCTTCATTAGATCACCATCTGATCTAATCTCCACTGCTCTCCATGGGCGAGTAGTCACCAAGACTGGGCAAGAGGCAAGTTGATCTGAACAAAGAATATCTACAAGTTCAATATCACCAGTCTCAGATGAGCTTCCGCATGCCTCTGAAGAGGTGACACTTGGCTGTGATTCGCAAGATTTTGTCTTCATGATTAGGCCACTGGCTTCGTCTAGCCCATCGAATGCAATGAATACCTTGTCAGGATTTGACTGAATAAACTCAGTCATCTGAGAAACCGTTGCTTGATTGTTTTTGGCCAGATAAGACTTTGCAATCTCGCCAATAGTGTGTTTCTTAAACTCACGTAGAGGAACAATCAAGACCCACACAAATTGACTAAAATACCTCCCTTCAATCCAGTCCCAGGCAATCTTAGCACAAAATGTAGTTTTTCCAGACCCTGCCTCTCCCTGGACCATGATCCGCTTGGGGAACTCTCCATTGACTTTGAGATCAAGGATATCATTGCAATCTAGCATTCGCTTCTCTGTCCCATGCTCTTCTTGTAAGAAGAGATTAGTATACATGTCTTTAAACTGCACAGTGGAAGCTGGATTGAGAGGATCAACTCTGATCTTACAGACAGTGGACCTGTACTTGAACTTGAAATCCTTTGCACACCGCTCAACCAGTTCAGGAGAAAGTGGTTTGGTCTGAGATTCAGCTGAAGGAGGTTTGGTCGGTGATTCTGTCAGTCTCGATGGCCCTCCTAAAAATACATAGAAAATCCATATTCAGATGATAACACATACAAATATTTTGATACATCTGAAAGGATTGTAAAGGCCTGAGGCTAATAGTATGACTATGACTAGATGCATGCATGTACTCAAAGACACTAAGTCATACATGTTTGTCTGAATTTATATGACTTCATTCAATTTTCAGGGCATTTAAAATCTGAGTAATTTGTGTATACAGGTGTATATGTACTTGTAGATGCATATCAATGGAATAATTTTTCCTAGGACATTTCAGCAATGCAGAGTTTCCCTCACATTTACACATCTTATTTTGAAGAAAAAAACAAGACAAATATGACTGCATCTCTAGTATGCCTCTGCCTAAATTCAGTTAAGAACTGGGCTTTGATCAATCTTTAAATATCACAATGAGAATTAAATAAATATATATATATGTATGCATATAAATACATGTTGAGTGATCTTTACAACCTTTGACCTTTGATCTTTGACCCGACAATCCAACATCTGATGAATTGTTTTCCAATGGTGAAGCTATGTTATATATTACATTATGTGTTATTAATTTTGTTTGTAAACTTTTGTAATTCGGCTTAACGCCGCGATGAAAGTTTTGTTTAAAATAAACCATTTTGAATTGAATTGAATACCATATGTATTTTTAAAATAAAAATTTCAGCTCAAATAGCTCAAAGTAGTTATTGTTATGGTGATAAGCGTTTCATTTTGACCTTCTTAACTTTAGATATGATCAGTTTGTCTCAATATGGAGATTTATAACCAACATCAAATTTGAATTCATGGCTCAAACCGTTCTTGAGACACTGCAATAATGGGGCTAACCCCCCCCCCCCCCCCCCCCACCAAACAACAAAAAATAAACAAAACAAATAATAGGACCCTCATAGCCTTTGACCCACTTATCCCAAAATCTAATCACTTCATCTCCAACCTTTGGTGATGCATGATAACACCAAGTTTGAAGTTCATAGCTCAAGTGGTTCTTGACATATCATGAGGCTAAAAGCTGTCATTTCAACAATTTACCTATATAAACCACTTAAACCCATATCTAATCAAGATTATCTTCCTATGGTGATACTAACATACTACATTTTGTACCAACAAGTTTGAATTTCATACCTCAAGTGGTTCTTGAGATATCGCAATAGCAAAAAAGCCGGACGGATGGTCATACAACCCCAAAATATATTTTCTCCCGCACCATCTTCCTTGGACGGATGCATAATTACAGTTATCTTAATGGAATGACGCAAAAGAATATAATTTGTTTGTAGAACATGTGCTCATTGTAAATTGTGGCAAATATATAGAACACAGAGCACTCGCTTTATCTATGGTAAAAACTGACTTCACTTTTATGCATGGTTTTCGATATCTTCTGTTGTAGGAAGATTTAGTATCTGTTTACCTGTGATGTTTGGAATAAGAGATTCATTGAGTAATCTGTCTGATAGGCCACCCAAGCCAATCTCTCGAAGTTTGTCTGCCAAAAGCTGCCGTTTGTTTGAGTGTGGAGGTTGCTCCATATCTTTCCATTTCATGAATAGGCACAAAAATGCATTGGGATAGTTATTCCGCTCCTGTATCAGGATGTTCCCTAGCTCAGAATAAGAGAAACCTAGATATATCCCTACAGCCTGGTAGTAAGATGGACAGATATCCTTGGCCAGCCACAGGAACTCCTTGTCACAACACAACTCAATGGCAGCTGACTAAGTAACACGTGCGAGTGAACCTCTCCTCAAGATATATTTTTTCAACACCCTAGATATCACTATTCTTCGAAAACAAAGTTGATAACTACTCATAATTTGCATCTCTACCAGATTTTGAAAAAGTTATCATTATGAGTGGCCGCAGCCAGAAGAAAATTGTGAAAAAAACCACAAAGAATACCCGTGGAAGTTACTCCATCTTAAACGACGAGCTTCACGATGCTGCTGCCACCCCTACTGGCACAGATGATCAGGCAGATCCTGCTAACAACTTGGGCTCTCTCCCATCATCTGGTGTGGAGCTGGCAGATTATCTTAAAGCTGCAACCAGCAACTTTGAAAAGGTAATGGATGAAGCTGTACAATCTTTGATTGAAAGTGTGCGGAAAGTGGAAAGGGCCCTTGAGTTTGAGGGTCAGCGAATCAACGAACTTGAGAAAAAGAATGCTGAGCTTGAGTACAGATTGGGCAGGATGGAGAAATCTTTTACAGATTTAGCACAGAGGGTTGGAAGCCATGACAGCGATGTCAACAAGGCTGAGCGCTCCTCACGAAGGAACAACTTTCGTGTAATAGGAATACAAGAATCCTTGGATGTTGGATTAGAAGACTGTGCTCAGATAGTAGAGGACATTATAAAAACCAAATTTAAATTGGAAGTCAAGGTGGAACGTGCCCTGCGTGAAGGAAGGAAAGGAGATAACCCCCGTCATATCATTGTGAAGACTTCTTCGTATGATGAGAAAGTCGCCATCATGAAGAGTGCAAGGGAAGCTTTGAAGGAGGATCCTTTTTACTTTGTCAATGACCTAACCAAGCGTGATCTGGAGCAGAAAAGGAAACATAAGAAGGAAGTTCAAGATCTATATTCTAAAGGTACTAAACTTCGCTTCTACGCTGGACAGTGGAGAGGCAATGGAGGAGTGCCATACTTTACTGCGTAGTGCAGCTTTAAACCTTCTTGACTGGGTGGCATTGTCCTCAGCATAGCTGTGGTCAATTTGTTTATCTTATAAGTTTGTGATTAGTCACCGTGAATGATTTATTTACATCTTTTTGAGTGCCTTGCTGGCCTTGTTTCTGGCCAAAGATATTCTCTCTCTCTCTCTCTCTCTCTCTCTCTCTCTTTTTCCCTCTCTCTCTCTCTCTCTCTCTCTCTTTCTCTCTCTCTCTTTCTCTTTCTTAGAACTCTTCCATTCTTCTCTTCTTCAAGTTTGGTGCAAGCTGTTATGTAATTATGGTCTATTAAATGTGTAGGTCTTTTTTTCTTTTCATTCTAGCTTAGATATTTTTGTTGTAATATTCGTGTTAGCTTTTCTTCTGTAAAGTAATTAAGGAGTGGGAGTGGGTTCTGCAGTCAGTTGTTGTTTTTACATGTATCTATATGTGTTTTTATTACCTTTTAATGTTTGTAGTATATTTCTTATATTTACTCTTAATCATGTATTGTGTGTGTGTGTGTGTTTGTGTGTGAATGTCTGTTTGTGTTTTGTTATGTATGCAAGTATGTATGCCATCCTGGGTAGTCATTTCCAAGACTTATATGTGTTTAGAGTTTATCGTGCCATTAATTTTCTTAATTGTATATAATGGAAACCATTGTTGAAGAAGATGTAAACTTAATGCTTAGAGATTGTGCATATGCTGATTGTGGTGCATTTGACCAGAATCTACAAGGAAATTTCGATCTTTTGCATGTAAATGCCAGGAGTTTATGTAAGAATTATGATGAGATGTTACAATTGTTGTCTTGCTTAAAGCATGATTTTTCTGTGATAGGTGTCTCTGAAACTTGGTTTAAAACTTCAACTAATGTCAATATGTTTCAGATACCTGGCTATTCTTTTGTTCACATATGTAGGGCAGACAAAAATGGCGGTGGGGCATGTCTGTACATTAAAGATGATTTGGAATTTAAATTCCGTTTTGATTTATCTGGATCCAATTCAGGGTATGAAATTGTTTTTGTTGAAATAACAAACCTCAGTAAAAAGATTATTGTTGGATGTGTATATAGGGCTCCAAGCTATGATAGTATATCCTTTGTGGAAAACTTAGAACATCAGCTACAGATATTGAGTAGAGAAAACAAGGAAGTATATTTAATGGGTGACTTCAACATCAATTTAATGAATTATGATACTGATCGTAGTGTTAAAGATTTTGTAGATTTCATGTACTCATTTGGATTATTTTCTCTCATCACTAAACCTACCCGTATTACTGAAATTAGTGCAACATTGATTGACACTATTTTCACAAACTGCATTCAAAATGAGTTTAGCTCGGGTATAATATGTTCAGATATTTCAGATCATATGCCTATATTTTGTGTTAAAAATGGCTCTGTGGTAACTTCTGTCAAGAGAGATGGACAAGTTATGAGGCGGTCAATAAATGATGAAAGAATCTCAAGGTTCAAGCAACACTTAGCTGAAATTAATTGGCAGGCTCTGCCTTCACTGGAAGGCGTCAATGAGTCATATGAACATTTCCTACAAATATTTCTGGAATTATATAATTTATGTTTCCCATTAATTGAAGTATCGATAAAAAGTAAATGTAAAAAGCCATGGGTAACTCGTGGTTTATTGAAAACAATAAATCATAAACATAAGCTTTATGGTAGTTATGTCAAGAGACCAACAGCTGTGAATAAAAAGAAATATATCGATTATAAGAATGTCTTGGTTAATACTCTTCGTATAGCCAAGCAAAAATATTACAATGATTTGTTCCACAGTGTTAAAGGTGATATTAGGAAAACTTGGTCTCATATCAATGAATTGTTAGGTCGGTCAACTAGGCATTCACTCCCTCAAGAGATGGATTTTAATGGAGTAATTCTTTCTTCTGCCAAGGATAAGGCTGAAAGTTTTAATAAATATTTCATTGGATTACCCATGAAAATCAGTGCAGACATTCCTCAAGTACCACAATCTTTTCAAGATTATATGAAACAGTGTGATGATAATGCGTCAATGTTTCTAAAACCAACTTCAAAATCTGAGATCATCGATATTGTGTTGTCTTTGAAACCATCTAAATCTAGTGGTTCTGATGATATTTCACCTAGAATTATAAAGGAGTGCATTCACCTTTTTATTGATCCCTTGTGTAAAATCATGAATATGTCTTTATCTCAGGGAGTTGTTCCTGATAAACTCAAGGTAGCTAAAGTAGTACCAGTGTATAAAAAATCTGACCGTAAAAACGTCATTAATTACAGGCCAATAGCATTGTTACCAATCTTTTCTAAAATTCTTGAGAAAATAATTTATAAACGCTTAAATGAGTTTCTATCTAAAAAGAATATCTTGATTCCTCAGCAGTGTGGTTTCCGTAAGCACTTCTCCACACAAATGGGTGTGTTTAATTTATTAAGTAATATCATAAAAGCTATTGATGGAGACAAGTATTGTTTGGGGATATTCTTAGATCTATCTAAGGCGTTTGATACTATTGACCATGGCATCCTCCTTAGGAAACTTGAGCATTATGGAATACGTGGTGTAGCATTGTCTTGGTTCCAAAGCTATTTGTTTGACAGGACACAATTTGTTGTGGTGAATGGTACTAATTCTCAACTTGCTTCTATTAAATATGGTGTACCTCAGGGTTCTGTTCTTGGTCCCCTGTTGTTTCTGATCTATATAAATGATATAATACACTCATCAACATTATTCTCATACTCACTTTTTGCTGATGATACCAGCTTGCTGTTGGCTGATAAGAAGGCTGAAGATTTATTACTAATTGCGAATCAAGAGATTCAGAAACTGTATGCATGGTATTGTTGTAATAAGTTATTGTTGAATGTTCAAAAGACCAAATGTGTTATTTTTCGCTCCAAGGGTAAAAAGCTTCCAGATGGCATTACTTTTCTTAATGTTGGAGGCCATGATGTTGCGCTTAGTGAAAATGTTCAGTTCTTAGGGCTAACCATGGATGAGCATTTATCTTGGAGAAATCATTTAGATGCTGTATGCACAAAGTTGTCCCGTAGTGTAGGTGTCATTTTTAGATTAAAATTTATTTTACCTGAAAGAGTGCTGATAACATTATATAATAGTATTATTCTTCCTTATTTGACATATTGTAATGTTGCTTGGGGAAACACCTTTAAGTCATATCTTGATAAGTTGAGAGTATGGCAGAAGAAAGCAATACGGCTTATTACTAATTCTTATTATAGACATCCAAGTTCTCCATTGTTCCTTCGACTAAGAACGTTACCACTAAGTGGACTTGTGTCGTTCAATTGCATATTGTTTATGTTTAATCTTAAGTCTATGCCTCATGAATGTACGTTAAAAGATTTATTCCGTCAGAACTCCCAAATTCATAATTATAATACACGTCAAAGGTGTCTTATTCGACAGCCTTTTGCAAGAACAAATGTCACTCTGACCTCTTTCCATATCTCTTGCATTAAAGAATGGAACAGTCTGCCTGATGATATAAAAAATAGTACAACTCTTTCTAGGTTTAGAAGTTTATCTAAAACGTACCTGCTTGAAAGACTGACATAGTTTTTATTCGCATCTTAGTAATTTCTCATTCTGAAATGCTTTTTGACCACTAAGGACCTACTCGTCGGTGTGTTTGCTGTGTATGGTGATGTGCGTGTGTGGTGTCTGTGCGTGTGTGTGTGTGTGAGAGTATTTGTATGTTCTATATTCTGTAGATTAGTATTTTCATCCATTGTATAATCATACGTAACATTCTTTTTACTGTAAATGTATGTATTTTGTTATAGGGCCCCGCTCACAAGCTTAGCTTCTAAAGGGGTCCTAAAACCGTTCAGTTTATGATGTAATCAAGTTAGAATATGTTGATTGATGTACTATTACCAGTCTCTTTTTTATGTAACAGATTATATCATGCTTTGTATGGTTTTTGAATAAAATGAACTGAACTGAACTGAACTGTCACTGACAGTAGGCCTACTGTAAAATGAATGTGTACATATTATTCATGCGAAGTTCCATGGCTGAAATGCCTGAAACCCCCACATTTTCTTCTCTGTTAATATGTTCATCCGGGGTTCTCGAGACCGTAGCCATAGACTTTGGCTCAATTGAACTACAGCGACTTCCCGAAGGGATGTCAGTCTTTTTCTTTACTTTTTTCTTTTTCCCCCGCAAGGAGCTCTTAGGCTCATTAGGCGGGATGAGTGTTCCAGTGTCGGCCAAGTCCACCGACAAGTGAGGCGGAAAATCAGCTGTGTCTATAGACATTGTTCGTGAACTCACGACTTACTTACTAACCAAATTTTCCAGAATCGCTCTAAAACGATAGTAGGCCTAGACAGCGTCTAACCTGTTCAAAACGTCGTAACAATGTTTTTTAAGTCATCTTTGTTTACAATATATAATGAAGATTTTCGATGAAAATTGCAGTATAATTTCCGCAATGAAAAGTTACTTTCCATTAGCCTTAGCTGCGAAGAACGACTATATGTACGCATGTGGTAAGAGCGAGATCTCTTATGTAGTCTCTTCAACGAGACATACAAAGTAAAATAGCATTGGGATATCAGAATATAATGCCTGCATGTGATATGAACATTTGAAACATATTGCCCCAAGTTGCAGGTCAGGGCGGTATTGTTCTTACAAGGGTAATTATTCCCATTAAATTATGGCAATAAATACAATAATTATAATAATAAGAAGAAAAAATGATTACTACTACTTGTAAAAATAATGATAATCTTTAAATGTATTATCATTACTAGAATTCATGATTTTGATGATGATGATGATCAGGATCATTATTATCATTATTAATATTAATATTAATATTAATATTAATATTATAATTAGTATTATTATTATCATCACCATCATACTTCTTATGATCATTATTATTATTATTACATTTATCATCATCATCATCATCATTATGACTGTTATTATTACCTTCATCATCATAATTATTACCTGTTTCATGCATAATCTATGTAATCACTATTAAATTTTGATTGATAACATGATGATTTCAAGTGTCACACTGACTCATTCACGACAATTGAAAACATCATGTGTTTTGTCTTAATTATTTTGCCTTAATTGTTTAAGAAGGTCGAGTTTAGGGAAAGGTGAAACAAATTTGTTCACACTTTTTATGTTAGTGTGGAAGAGTTTCTTAGAAGAAAAAAATTCCCTAAAAAAAGACAGTTCTTCAAATGCCTTCATTTTCTAAATATGACAAATATTTTGTTGTGGACCACACTTTCCTGCCAATTGTTTGTGTAGTCCGATATACAAATTACTGTGTCCAGTACATGTGACTTTTAGCAAGACTGGGCAAAATTATCATTTTGAGAACTCCAAAACCTCACTTATGTTGGTGTGCTACATGATCGACCTTTCCAATCGCTTTCACATTGTTTTTTTCGCGATGCAATCGTGTAACTAGTCAGATCCCTGTTTTATAAAACTTGATATCAATCACAAATGCTAAATAAAAATTTCTATGAAAAATTTGCTCTCAACTGATGAAATGCCCCAATTTCAGTAGCTTATAACAGTTATTGTAACTTGTTATCGATAACAAGGTTTATGAAAAAGGGCCCAGGACTCAACTTCATTGTTAACTCCTGAAGGTGCTACTGGTGCAAATGCATACCTTACTGCAGTGTTAGGACCTGGATTGGTTTCAACGTCACCAGATCTCATCAAGAGGATCAGGAGCAGATAGAGAAGGCAGAATCCATCCATGGTGTAACAGATGTCCTTCTCACTCGACAGAAATGTAGTCCTCTGGAAAATGGTGATATGACACAAGTGACAATACCTGAAACAATATTAAAAAATATCTGCATTATCATGTACATAAAACATATGGAATAAAGATCCTTGGGAGTTTCAATTTCACTGTATCTACATGTATAACAGCATAATGTTTGGGGGACTTGCAACGCTATAAAGTTCTTTGCCCCCACCTCCTGAACCCTGCCCTTGCGGGGAATGGCTAGGACCAGCCAAGAAGAAATGCTGTATTTGGGCAGAGAAGATTATTCTGTGATTCTTTGTAGTTGTTAATCTTTCACAACTTCGACCATACCGTCACTTTTTGATTGGTCCGTATAGTTGAAAGTATAATGACGTATATAATTCTGTAATGTTGTACAATAGTGCCAGAAAGAAAGACCAAGGAAACCTCAAAACCATTGTCAAACAAGCAGCCAATATAATAGATAGACCAATGGATTTTGATGAGGTTTGTAGAAACAGAGCAGTGTGTACCCCTCAGAGGGGGGGGGGGGGGGGGGGGGGTGATTGTCTAAGGGTGTAATTCTCAGGGGGGATAACTATCCTTGGGGGTAATCGTCTACAGCGTTATTTCTCGGGGGCTAATTGTCCTCGGGGGGTTATAGTCCTTGGGGGTAGTTTTCCAGGGGGTAATCTTCTGGGGGTGATTGTCCAGGGGGTAATTCACAAATTGTCCTAGAAGTAAAACCTGTTAAAAAATGTGTTAAAGCCACACTGTCCTACTGGTAGCTACTTGCTCCCTCTATATAGAAAACTTCCCCAATCGGTGCCTGTTGGTCCCCCATGATCCTCTTTTTCTTATGTTGATTGAGAGCTGAGTTAATGAGATAGCCACCTGTCAGTCACTCCAGTAAAGCATAGAGAGTCAATGCTAATGCGTGACCTCTAGTGCTGCATTACATGTTAATAGGCAGCATTTGCACACATGAATAGTAACTCTAATACACAAATACACACAATCATGCCGATGCGGCTGATCGGCAAGTTTGACAGTAGACTTACAATTTGAATTTTTATAGTATTCTTTCTAACATCGGCAAGTTAAAAAATTGTATTTTACTGCTATTTAGGTGTCATCAATTTTCACTAAAGTACTGATTTTGAGTGAAATCAGCTGAGTTTTGTACAGAGTGGTGTTTGAAATGTTGAGAATCAATAGCACAGCTTTTAATACACAGGCAGGATAGGAATGCAGCTATGTGTGCTGTCAGTGACCTCGCTGTGTGGTCTAATCCCTTCAGACTGAACTAGTGCAGCCGGCCTTTAAAGTAAAGGTAGGTGATACAACGTGTATACTCAGATGTTCTGTGTCCAGAGGTTGTGTGCAGACAGTTGATTTAAATCGGTCGGTAATTTGAAGGAAAAACTGTGCGCGAGCTAGTAATGGCGTTATCACAGTTTTTCTTCATAATCATTTTGCCTTCGGCGTAGACTAGAAGGGATGAGATTTAGATGACGTCATGCGCAGCGAGAGTTAAAATACGGCTTGCAAGATTTTCAACATGGATGTCGATTTTGACCCATAATTTCCTAAAAAGGGACCATTAAACAGATTATTTTAGTCAAGTAGGTAAGTGGAACCGATGTATTATAGCCTAGGCCTAATTTAATTACAATATAATATAAATTGGATATGCACGAGGTAAAATGAAATTGGGGGGAATTTTCGGGTCATAAAAATATGGCCATAAATGGCCATGGTGTTTGAAAGTGAATACGATTGCGTATAGTCGGCTTCCGTCTCTAAAGAGAGAGCCGACCCTACCCAAATAAGAGGCTTAACGAATGAAAGAGACAGCAAATTCGGTCTAGATCTATCATCTAGTCTAGATATTTTAAGAATTATGTTATAAAATACTAGATCTAAAGTAGAAATAATTATCAGGGTTGGTATTATATATTGCATGCATTTCGTTAAATCGAAAGACAAAAGTGGTGGCTTCATGTTTGTAGTGTCCGACACCCAACCCTTGCCCAATCCATACGCATTAGCAGTTTAGTATTAACCACAACAGTATAGCAATCTGACTATGTGTTGCTGGTGTGCATCATTCACACAAGTTACAACTATCACCGTGACTCAGTATCAACAAAGTCAAGCCCAAGGAACATGGGTATTTGAAATAGATTAGATAGACTAACCTTGTTTCATTTCAGTCTGATCAAGTTTACAAAGACAGCATGTCGTCGACAGACTTAAATCTAAATCTGCTGCAACTGAAGAAAGATAAATTTAGTCAGATCAATCATTGAATCGAACTCAGAAGCAAGGTGGCGTGGCAGTACGTGCAAATTTCTGGAAGAAAAATGGCGAATGAACTCAAGTGGCCGACGTGCGACCGAATGAAGGGGAATCCCCGGCGCGCGGCTGTGCGCGTGCGTGTTTTTTGTCTTCTAGTCATTTCAGCAAGATTATCTTCTACGTTCGCGCGGACAGTCTTCATATCTCTTGTTTGTATTTTGGGCGTTCAGTCAAATTTGACTTATGCTTAAGTTTAATCAGTCGGGTAGTCGAGTCGTCAAAGTTCCTAGCTTGGAAACTCCTGAAAACGCCTGAGCTTCACCTGTCCACTCCTGGGTATGTATACACAATTTTAAAAAATTGTGAGGTCGCAGTGTACAAACTTTAATCTGATATAAAAGAGGAAAAAACAATCCTGATGAGTGATATTTTTTCCTCATTTTTAAGCACAACCTAATCATGAAAGGCCAACAAGAGCTTTAATAAGAAACATAATAATATCAAATTTAAATGCGAGCGAGCGAAGATCAGCTAGAGAGCGAGTTTAAAAAATTATATATTGCTCTTATAGGGTTAGAGATGAAAGAAGAATAACGCTCATTTATAAGATAATGCCACTGACTGCATCTGTGTCTCTTTTTTCGTTCTCTCTCTCTCTCTTCCTTTCTCTTTCACTATCTTTCACTCTAATCCCTCTCCCTCGTTCTCTTCCTCTCTATCTTCTCGGTCTCTATAATGATCTATATTGACCACCTCTCGCTTTCTCTCTCTCTCTCTTTTCCTTTCTCTTTCACTATCTTTAACTCTAGTCCCTCTCCCTCGTCCTCTTCTTATCTATCTTCTCGGTCTCTTATAGTCATCTCTCTTACCCTCTCCCTTTCTCTTTCACTATCTTTCACTCTAACCCCTCTCTTTCGTCCTCTTCCTATCTATCTTCTCGGTCTCTCTCTCTCTTACCCTCCTCTCGCTTCCTCTCTCTCTCTCTCTCTCTCTCTTAGTCTTCCCTGTCTCTCCCAGATTTCAAATCAGACAAAAAGATCAGAGATTCAGAAGGTATATTTAAATCTTCCTTTTTTATTCAATTTAGAATCATGATTGCTTATGACATGCACATCAATAAGCCATTTCTGTCATGTAACCAAATTTATGCATATACCTTACCTGTTTATACAAATAAATGTATTTCAATAGTCAGGATTCGAATTGCTTACATTAGTTGTTGCTAAATAGGACACACATTATGGCTCGCCCAGTTGTGTAAATATAACAAAATATTGAGTGTCACATGACACCATTTCAGCTAAAAGAATACTTGCTAACAAATACATAGATATCATCAAACTACAACTAGCACATCATATTCCTTTGTCTCCTTTATAAAACACATTGTTGAAATATCTAAGGCACTGCAAACTTTATTTCAGTAATTCATGATCATCCGAGGTACATAGAAAGACCTAGCTGTTTAGAACATCCTTTTGCATGACATAATTCAGAATAAACTCACAGATCTGAGCAATTTGCATTGTCTATTATGAAAATCAGAGTGGATTATAAAAATGACATCACTTAATCAGGAGAGGATGCATGGTGATCAAAAGGCAAGGTAACGGAATGCTCATAAGAGTATACCTATGTTTGTATCTTATAAGGCACTCAAGGATGCAAACTTACTCCAATATAAAACTTATTTACAATTAAGGCAAGTATGGCAAACACAAACAAGTTAAAAATATACATCTATCATACCATAAAATAATCATAATGATGCGAAGAAAAGCCTAGAATATGAATCGTAAAAATAATTGAAATCCAATACTGAATACAATATTACAATAAACATGTGTCGTACAATAATAGCATATTTACATGTACACTGGAATGATGTAACGAAAATCCTGGAAAAAATTTCCTCAAATGGATTTATTATATAGTACTGGTGAATGTAGTTAAACATGTACAAACAATAATCCATGTCAAATTAAATATACCACTGATATCTCAGGCATGTTAGATTGACAAAAGAGACATGTATCTGAAAATTATAGCAGGACATTTACATATACACTGGAATGATGTAAAGAAAATCCTGGAAAATATTTTTTCAAGCAGATTTTTAAATCTAGAACTGGATGTAGCTCTAAATATATAAACAATAATCCACATCAGACAAAATGTTACACCGATAACTCAGGCCTATACCCCAACCAGACAAAGTTAGTTTTCAACTAACCTATTGAATTATATGAAGTTTGTTGACATGATAACTAGAGCCGGCAAACTTTCAGTGTAAATTATTAACTTTATATGGGGATTGTATTGGGAATAGTGCATCAAACAATTTTTTCAAATTTAGTACTCCGCCCTTCCTATAATTTGTGTGCCAGCGTTGGTAAAAGAAAAATTATATCCTGACAAAAATTCAATATTTCAGGATAATCTGATTATTTTCGCATGTTTTAATACCCCGTCACATAATACATAATTTACAATCTTTGATAACTTTAAGTTTGCTAATGCGTGCTTTTGCATGATTTTTGTGTTGTTGCAGTTGGAAAAAAAGTATGAAATTACAAAAGTTTGTGTTCGCTTGTTCAACTCATTACACATTCAACAATTGATGAGAAATCATTGAAAGGGACAGCAAATATTTGCTGAGATATCATTTTCTGATGTAGGAATTCTAAATTCTGATATTGCATGCGCTCTTTGAAATCACCACCTGGTCAACAGTTGCAGATTAGGGCATAACTATGTTGGCGGCTTTGAGCATGGGGTCAAAGGAGAGCGGCTTGATTCCACTCCTTCTATATCACCTCCCTGCTTTAACTCATAACTTCTACACAGGCATTATGCATGATCATAGCCGAGTAAAAAATGAAGCCTTGTTCAGATTTTTTTCAAAAACGTTTTCCACACAACATGACCCTCTCTGCATAAAACAAGTACACAATGGGATCTCGATGCAACTCTGGGGTTAAAGGTAATACAAAGTTTTGGTATGGGGTCATGAATTTTGTTCAAATGAACATATTGGAAGCATATACGATCCTACAATATTCAGTGATCGTCGTCGAGGTCGAAATCGACTCTAAAGTTACGAAATTGTAAATAATAAACATGTTATGTTGAATAGCTCCCTCTCAAGGTCAAGATATTAATTAAGCTATAAAACAATGTTTATTGACTAAAATCGATCGATTAGCTATTCTCGTTCAATATATATACACCACAACTACACACTCAGAGATTTTCATGGTCGCAGCTACCATTGTACGGCCGTAGGAGCTATTTGAAATTTATCAAAATTTACCGGGAGCACCGGTAAATCACTATATATAATAATAATAATAATAATAATAATATCCTAATAGTCCACTCCAAATTTTATTAAACCGAAACGGAAATTCTTTTTGCCCAATTTGATCGTGAGCCCGGCAGCCACTGAGCAGCGCCAGATCGACGTTGCTCTATCCCTTATTGTTGAACGCCAAACAAGGTAGCAACAACTCCCATCTTTTCAATTTTTCTTGAAAGCAGAAGTGTTTTAGGGGCTAACACTTCTGGTGTTTTTAATACATCCACAGGGGCATCTAAATATATCAAAATTGTAAAGAATCAGTATCCACCCATTTTTCAAAATTTCCCAAAACTTTGTAATACCTTTAATAAGTATACATTCACAAAACATATCCTGTTTTCGCATCACTTTCTACATACGGTAGGCCTACTCCTTTCACAAGTTTTCAAACATTGTGACAATATTATGATCTCTTTCTTGTAAAATGTATACACTAACACCTTGGACTGTACTCATCCAAGGTGAAAAAGAAGAAAACAGCTTTATTATAAATATTCAAACATTTACAAACATCCGCCGAAAATTATCCCTTTAACCCCAAATTTGTTGATATCAGTCCAGGGCTTGAAACCAGCAGGTGGACGCCTAAATCTAGGTCCGGACCCCCAGAATTTGGAAACTTTTACTTAGGCTCATGCATACAGACTGTAAAAAGTTAAATCTGAACCTCTTTCCCCCAAAATAGTTAGTGTAGCCCTGAATCATACATACAAAAAGTCAAGATGAAGTGTTACCAGTGGGTGGGACACTGTCTTACACTCTTACTCTACCGATACCATAGCAACCAGATTTCATACTTTGATTGCTTCTCTGGAATTTCAGGATCATCCTGTGGAACTCTTGACTCAGTACAAGGAGGTTGCCTCTTGCAGGGCCTGCTCCGACTGCTGCTACCTTCTCTGTATGTCTGAGAGAATTGATATACAGTATCTGACATATTGCCAACATAAAAGTTTTGATATCGACCAGTATTGCTTGTACTTGGAGATGGGAGAAAAGCTGGCTGAATGCGATACCCGACTGGAGGGAACCTGGCCTACTTGAAGAATTTTTTCTTTTACATATAAATGGTCGATAATTGGAAGCTGAATGGAATCCTGTAGTGGAGCAATCCTGACTAGGCTGAAGTCAGCAAGATCCTGACCACTCTACAATCATTGGTTGAATGGTGCATCTGAAAGTGCCATCTCGACATGGCAGGTTGATGATATCCAGAGACTGGAGTTATGCAACAGAGCAGAGCTGGATGTCATGGGAGTTGCCTGAGTCAGCCTAACCATCTGAGTCATTTGAGTTGCCTGAGTTGGCCGAGAAATACGAGTCATTTGAGCTGCCAAAGTCGGTCGAGTTGTCTGAGTCATTTGAGTTGCCTGAGTTGGTAGAGTCATCCGAGTCACTTGAGCAGTCTAAGTCCGAGCTGTAGAGGAAACAGATTTCTTTTTGTTATTATCTGAATGAAAGATGAGAAATAAAATATCAACTACTATTGGTATTACTGAAAGTACCTGTCTCAAGAAACATTTTGATCAGTGAATGAAGAAAAAGAAAAAAATAGAAGAGACTACAGTGTAACAAAAATATCAAGAACACACAATCAAAAATAAAGTACAGACACTTAAAAAAATGGAAAAAATCTACAAATTTAAGGTTGAAAGCACTTACGTACAGTACGGAATTTGTTCAATAAAGCGTTACTGAATATTTAGTTTTGTCAAGCAAGAATCTTAAATTGTTTAAGGTACACATGCAGTACCACTTTATCACATGCTCCCTACTGGGGTTTATATCATTTCTTAGTATTACATTAGAGGCTTTTTTATTGTTTCTGTATTGCACCACCCTTGAAAAGACTACCGGTATATGCTGTTATCAGAATTTTTATTTTCTAATCACTTATAGGCCTACTGTACGAACCTTTGCAAACATGGGAGGGTTTTGAGAAATAAGTTCAAGTCAACTTGAGCAACTCCATTGAACCTGAAGTTTCCCTTCCTGATCTGAGGAAAGCAACCCTGTAACATATAAAAGCAACATTGCTTGTAAACCTTGTATTAGTTACAAGTAAGTGGATCTATTTCATTCTGGCATATAATCTATTTTCTTGGGAATATACACCCAAGAGCTACAGTAACATCCCATTAACTAAAGGAGTTTCGAGAAGTTAAAAAAAAGCTAGAATAAGAGAAATTTCGCACAAGAGATTTTCAACATTTCAAAAATAAATGGATCCATGAAAACCTGTAATATTAATAATAGTGGTAGTTTTACTGTAGTAGTACTGGTAGTAGTATCCACTATCACTTTCTATAAGCAGTAGTAATTGAAATATGGTATCGACATCAGATTAAAAGAAACCCCCCCAAAAATACCTGCTAGACAAATCTTTATACTTTCTCATACTATTAGAGGATCAGAGAACAACAATAGAGAACAGGAGAGCATTACTTTTATAATTCGACTCTAAAAGGGCTTGGGTGGTTGGAAGCTGCCTTCTTTCCTGTTAGCAATATGTTTGAGCATAATATATTTCCAAGATCTGTCCTGACTTAATAGCCTAGAGTCTACAGCATCTTTGATACTAAATTTATAGATTTTAAACATTGATTACTGTGCAGTGTCAAGAATGATTGCTCTGTAGGGCCATGCATTATGGTTCAAGGCATGCCCACATAGAAGATTTTTTATGTTGGGGGTCGGGGCAAAATGCAATGAATTATTGCAAATTTATTGCATTATCTTTGTTTTTTTGTTTTTGTGGGGGCGTCGACGTACCCTAGCACCCGATGCATACAGTCATGATTCATTGGCTAAGCAATACATTTTTGGAATCCTTATGACCAGACGAGTAATTTGATATGTGATTTCATAAGGTTCACTGTGTTGGTGAATTTGACCACCTGTCAAAAGTGTGTTGACCTTTCAACGTTTTTGACCATAGCGCCCTCATTTAAGGTCGAAGGTATAGGAAACTATACATTTTTGGAATCCTCATGACCAGACGAGTAATTTTATATGCATATTGACACGATTGGAACTATTTGAATTTTTATCCCTGTGTGACCTTTGTTGACCCCTCACGAAAATGCCCGGGATTTTCAAGGGGGCAGCCCAAGTCAAAATTGTTCGGTATTCATCAGGGAACACAAAAACACTTTCAAACCTTTGTTCCCAGAGATTGGTCACGGGACCTACAGGCTGGTCTCCTACTAATACCCATACATATACATTTGCTATTAATGTATTAAAGGTATTCAGAACCCTGGGTTCCATGTGCACAAGTCCCCTAAGTCAGGAGGTTTGTTGCTATGGTCCAGTTTGTTAGATTCAAGCCTTTATCAAAATTGGCTCTTAAAATACTTTATGACATATTTTCTTCTATCGGTCAAACTTGGAAAAGGCTGGATATTGATTATTGATTTAACCCTACGCGACTACTCCGAAACCGCGGCAGATATAAAATTTTCCTTTCATGACTTTTTTCTTTCAAGTCTTACGCATCTTTTAAAACAATTTTTTCGAAAATCGGACGCATAGTTACGGAGTCACGTGACATTTTGTTGTTGCATGTCAGCCCGAAAATCGCTAATTTTTGTGATTTGTGTACAAAACATATGGAAATGTCATTTTTCCTAAAAAGAGATAAAACATTGGTTATTTAGTCTTGTTTAAAGTTTGGGTGTTTGTTTTGGGGTCAAAATAGTTGAATTGTAGTTATAAATGAAATAAAACAACAAAAACAATAAAATACACAAGTTGAAAAAACAATGAAATACAAAAGAAATTATTAAAACATGAGATAACATAAGGAATAACCTGGCTTTTCTAATTTTTTATGTTGTATTATTATTCCAAACGGTCTAACTAATATATGTAGTGAAAAAGAATGCTCAAATATCAATAATGTATGATTTATGGGCAAAAATGTGAATTTTATGACCTTATTTGGATAAATTACCATAAATATGTAAATAAGTAAATTTTTCAAAAAATTTAAAATACCATAGTATTCTATACACTTCAGTTGACATGTATGCAAATTTTCGCGGCGATCGGCCGTGAAACGGCCGAGATCTTAAGGGGGGGTCAAATTGACCCCCCCCCCCCAGTAAAAACCTGGTCTGAAATAGCCCAGTTAAAATAGGGTTAAACTAGATGGACCTTCGACCGCGTGCAGTCGAAAATGATGCCTCCGCCATGGAACAATTTTGCAAACCAAAACAGAAGCGAGCTAATTTTGCATACATAATGAGCCATGTTACCTTTGACATTTGACCTCGTGACCCCAAAATCTAATCAGTTCATTGGCTTTGCAAGATAAATACATGACCCAATTTTGGCGGGAATCCATCAATGGATTCTTGAGATAACGCGATCAGGAGCTATTTTTGAATACATAAGCCCTGTGACCATTGACTTTGGATCTCATGACCCTAAAATCTAATCAGTTCATTGGCTCTGCAAGATACATACATTACCAAAGTTTGGCAGGAATTCATCAATGGTTCTTGAGTAATGTGATCACGAGCTATTTCTGCATACATAATGAGCCCTGTGACATTTGACATTTGACCGCGTGACACCAAAATCTAATCAGTTCATTGGCTCTGCACGATAAATACATGACCCAAGTTTGGCCCGTATCCATCAATGGGTTCTTGAGATAACGCGATCACAAGCTATTTTTGAATGCATAATGAGCTCTGTGACCTTTGACCTTGGATCTCGTGACCCTAAAATATAATCATTTCATTGGCTCTGCAGGATAAATACATGACCCAATTTTGGCGGGAATCCATCAATTGGTTCTGGAGATAACGCGATAATATGAGATAACCCGAAAACATAATGCCTCTAGCTACATTGTAGCGGAGGCATAACAAATGTAAATCTTATACACACTTGAATTTCAACTGAATCAGCTTACATGTAGTTTGCTTTCATTTCATGTTTCATTTCTATTCCAATTTACCAAGTGAATGGCCTTTAAAAAAGGGTGATTGGGAAAGAAAACATATATATCTGTGTACCATATGACTATTACTGCTGTCTTGTTGATCAATGACCCTCCATGACATTTACATTAGGACACACATACTTGTATGGATGATGCCTTTGCTTTCAATGTTGAGCAGAACTCCTCGTTGAGATCCATTAGATCCAGTTTCAGGTCAGTCAGGTTTGGCATACAGCACATTGCTTCTGCAAGGTGATGTGATGAGGCTGGTGTGGAACACTGGATATCCTCAAGCTTGAGAGTCTGGATCTGCATTGTTTGTGAAGATAGTTAAGCAGAACGTATATACATGCATACATTATATTTACTAATTTCTGACTGTATTCTTACATTTCACACAAATTACATTACCGGTAGTTAAAAAGTTGTATTTACAATAACTTTCTCAAGAAAACTGATTGAATAGATTTTGTTTTCAAATTCAATTCTTGTCTATTCAGAAAAAGAACAAAATAAAGTTTCCACGGAGAAAATGATTTAGTAAAAATTGATTTTTCTTAAATTCTATATGTATTCTTTATAGGGCTTCCAACCTGTTTGCATTGATAAGTCCCCATCCTACTAACACTGAAATTAATAATACCAGGAATACATTTAATATTAATGTATTAAAGTTATTCATAACTCTTAATTTCATGTGCACAAGAATCCTAAGTCAGGAGGTTTGGTGCTATGGTGCAGTTCGGAAAATTCAAGCCTTTATTAAAAATTGGCTCTTTACAATCTTTATTACATATTTTTCATATCAATCAAACTTGGAAAAAAGTTGGATATTAATTATTGATCAAAACAATGTTAATCTTCTACACAATTAAAATTCAACTAAATCTTCACATGCTTAGTTTTAAATTCGATTCAACTCAATTTATTTGGCATGAAAAGAAAATTCTGCTCTTCTTTCTATCAATGACCCTATCCGTGAAATTTACATCAGGACACACATACCTGCATGGATGATGCCTTTGCTTTCAATGTAGAGCAGAACTCCTCATTTGGATCCATTCCAACCAGTATCAGGTCAGTCAGGTTTGGCATGGAACACATTGCTTCTGCAAGGTGATGTGATGAGGCTAGTGTGGGACACAGGATACCATCAAGCTCGAGAGTCTGGACCTGTATTGTTTGTGAATAGAGTCAAGCAGTTTACCTATACACGCATATATTAAATTAAATATTTTATCATCGTCTTCTTACTTTTAACAGAAATTCTATTTTTTACATAGTTATATTCATAATAAAATACATGACAAAACTGATTGAATACATTTTGTTTTCAAATTCAAATTTGCCTATTACAAATAAAAAACACACACACGTTTCGCTGGAGAGGATGATTAGTAAGAGTGATTTTTAAAATAATACTATATGTGTTCTTTATAGGGCTTCCAAACGGTTTGCATTGAAAAGTTCTCATCATAATTACACTGAAAATTAGTAATACCCAGAAATATGCATTTGCTATTATTGTATTAAAGGGATTCTTTACTCTTGATATCATGTGCACAAGCATCCTAAGTCAGGAGGTTTGCTGATATGGTTCAGTTTGGCCAATTCAAGCCTTTATCAAAATTTGCTCTTAAAATACTTAATGAAATATTTTTTCCTATCAGCCAAACTTTTAAAAGGTTGGATATTAATTATTGACTAAGACAGTATTAATCTCCTACACACTTAAAATTCAACTGAATCTCCACTTGCATAGTTTTGAATTCAATTGAATTAAATTTATTTGGCGTGAAAAGAAAATTCTGCTCTTTCTTTCTATCAATGAACTTCTCCATTAGGACACACATACCTGTATGGATGATGCTTTTGCTTTCAATGTGGAGTAGAACTCCCCCTTTGGCTCTATTCCATGCAGTGTCAGGTCAGTCAGGTTTGGCATAGAATTAAGTGCTTCTGCAAGGTGATGTGATGAGGCTTGTGTGGGACACTGGATATAATGAAGCTCGAGAGTCTGGACCTGCATTATTTGTCAATATAGTTAATAATTTTACCTGAAGATGTTTTTTTAATTGGATGAGAGATTTATCATATGAAATATTTTTTCTTCAGGAAACCCATAGTACAAGAAAATCTCAACAGATGTGGTCTAATGAGTGGGGATATAAGATTTACTTTTGTCATGGAAAGTCTAACAGCGCGAGAGTATGTATTTTGTTTAAACCTAACTGTGGTATCACAGTTCATTCCGTGCATAGAGATGAAGACGGTCGCATTTTGGTATCAATTGTTTCCATGAAAATATGAAGTTTACTCTTGCAAATATATACGGTCCGAATAAAGATGGAAGTAAACTTTTTGAAGGTTTGCATGTACTTTTTAAATCAGTTTGGTGAAAAACCCTATATTCTTGGAGGTGATAGGATCACTGTCCAAGATCCTCACGTCGACCGCTATCCCGACAACCATCAGTATCATCCGAATTCTTTCACACATATAGAAACCTTGAAAGAGGATTTTGATTTAGTAGATATCTGGCCTTTTATGAATCAATGTAAACTTCAATACACTTGGCCTTCAAATACTTTCCAAAGTAGAATCTATTATTTTCTGATTTCAAATAATTTTAAGAATTCTATTGTTCGTACAGATATACATTATGGTTACAGAAGTGACCATTCTGCAATTAGTTTATCAATTGAACAATCAGTCCCTAGAAGGGGTCCAGGATTCTGGAAGCTAAATACTTCTTTATTATTGTCACTGCCTAATAGGAGTGAGATACACAAAATTAATAGCTCTGTTATTGAGGAAATATAAATATGGAAGTGAACAAATTATGGAAATATCTGAAGTTAAAAGTAAAAGAAAAATGTATTTCATTGTCCTCTTCACAAAAAAGGAAAGGAAACTGAGAGTAGATGTTTTGTTAAAAGATATTGAGAAGCTCCAAGAAGTTTTGGTAGCAAATCAAGATGATGACATGTTGAAAGAAAATTTGATTTGTAAAGAGGCAGAGTTACAAAAGATACATGAAGAATATGTTCGCAGAATAATGGTCCGTACAAGAGCAACTTGGATACCAGAGGGAGAAAAGAATTCATGTTATTTTCTGAACGTAGAAAAGAGGAGTTTTGATAAGAAATATATACAACAGTTGGTAAAAGGTGATGTCATTATAACGGAGCCATCTGATATATTGACTGAAGAAAAACAATTTTATGAAAACCTGTATACTGGTACTTCAAATAATATTGATTATGTTATCTCGAGAGCACATTGACAAATCTGAATATACCTTGTATCAATAATGATTTAGCTTTGCTTTGTAAAGGATCTGTTTTACAGAAAGAATGTTACGATGCAATTATGCCAATGTCTCGTGATAAAACAACAGACTCTGATGGCTTACCTGTTAATATTTATAAGATATTTTGGGAAAATATAAAAACATTGCTTTGTGAATTTTTGCTTTAATATTCGCTATAAAAATGGAGAACTGTGTCCTTCAATGAAACGGGGGATAATAACTTTTTTACCCCCCAAAAAATAAAGATAACTGCCATCTGAAGAACTGGCGTCCAATATCACTTTTAAATACAGATTATAAGATTTTAGCGAAGATTTTAGCAACCAGACTTCAAAAGGTTCTCCCTTTTATTATTCATGAGGACTGGATTTTTTAAAGTTAGATATATAGGTGAAAATATTCGGTTGTTTATAGACTCAATTGATTTTGGCAAAAAATATTCAATAGGGGGTATAGTTTGCTCGATTGATTTTGAGAAAGCTTTTGATACGATAGAATGGAATTTTTTAGTATGTTTAACCAAATTTGGATTTGGATGTATTTTCAAATCCAAGATTAAAATGATGTATAGCGATATTGAAAGTTGTGTCATAAACAATGGATACTCGTCATCAGTTTTTACTTTACAAAGGGGGGATGTTCTCTTTCTACCTACTTGTTATTAATTGGAGCTGAAATTCTAGGTATCATATTTAGACAGAGTACTCAGATAGAAGGTATTAAATTTAAAGGCAATGAAGTGAGGATAAGTCAATACGCAGATGATACACTTATTTATCTTGCAGCCACGGAACTTAATCTCTGGAATTGCTTCAATATTTTATCGGTGTACTCAAATATTTCTGGTTTGAAAATCAATGTTAATATGAGTAAAATTGTGAGATTGGGAAAGTTTACAGGTATGTTATGTAATCATTTGACTGTCGAATGGGTTGATAATGTTATCAATTACTTAGGTATAAACATTCCAGTTGATTTTTTATCAGATATCTATTCAATCAATTTTGAGGCTAAGATAAAAGAAGCTAAAACACTTTTAAAGGTATGAAACTGTCAAAACTTGACCCTACTTGGGAAAACTACAGTAATTAAATCACTAGGTATACCCACATTTGTTTATTTATTTAGTAATTTGCCAGATCCACCAGATAGTTTTTTTGTCACAATGCAAAGGATGTGCTTTAATTTTTTATGGAGTGGAAAAACAGATAGGATCAAAAGACATATTATGTTTAATACATATGGAGATGGGGGGTTGCAAATGACCCATCTTACGAGCTTTTGTAGTGCACTCAAAGTTGCATGGGTAAAGAGAGTTTTGGATAAACAACACAAGAGTATTTGGAAAACTTTATTTCAATGCCAAATGAAACATTATGGTGAAGAAATTGTTTTTAGTTGTAACTTTCAGGCGGGAGATATACATTCCTTTTCAATAAATCAATTCTGGTTAAATGTCTTAATGGCATGGTCTTCTTATAAGTACTACAATCCGGTTAAATTCAAGGATATTGTGTCACAACTTTTATGGAATAACTCTGCCATCAAAGTAGACGGTAGAATTTTATTTTATAGAAAATGGTATGATTCAGGAGTTAAATATGTTCACGATATATTGAAAGAAAATGGTAGCTTTAAAACATTTTCTGAAATTCAACATGATTTTCAACTGAATTTAACTCAATTTATGAATTATAGTGCTATTGTTTATGCAATCAGGTCAACTTGGAAGAAAGTTTTTACCCAAAGAATTTGTAATCCTAGCCTTGAAGATAACAAACTTAGTACATTTTTGTCAAAAAAGAAATCTTCTAAATTTTGTTATTTGTTATATATGGAAAAAAAATTCATTGAATTTGGAAAAGACAAACCAATTGAGAAAATGGGAAGATGATTTTAATTGAAGTCTAGAGAATTTAATGCAATGTCAAGACCGTTTTCTTAAAGTATTCAAGACAACTTTAGATACAAAAATTTGAACATTCCAATTTAAATTCATTCACCAGAAATTTGCTACCAACGAATTTCTTTTTCATATTGGTATAAAGACCTCACCAAATGTAATTTTTGCCAAAAGGATAACCAGAATTTGATGCATTTGTTTTTCTCCTGCCTAATTGTAGCTAAATTTTGGACCTATGTTTACAAGTGGTTATGTGAGTTAAAAGTAATTACTTTACCACTTTCTCAACTAGATATCTGTTTTGGCATACACCCAGGAGACATTTTTGTAAACACAGTTATATTTTACAGTAAATACTTTAAATAAATACAAAGAAACAAATATTTTGACAAAACGTTGATTTTCAGTCAGTTTCAGGCAGATATGCTTTACCTTGGGAAAATTGAACAAATCATTGCTTTACGTAAAGGGAAACTACATGTTCATCTTAAAAAATGGAAACCCTTAGTGTAATTTAAAAGGTCTTACTCATTTTCATTTGCCTTCATCCATTTATGTTCACACTTATGATTCTGACTAATGTACTATTATACGATTGAAGTTATTAATTTGTAAAATGCCTATGAATGTATGTTTTATTATATACCTCACTTAAGAAATCCAGCCATCTGATTGGTCGAATTGCATTCATAAACTTCAACTGTTCCTGTAAAATTCTCGGTAACCATGCATAAAACATTTCAATATTTTTAATAACCATGGTTATTAAAAACAGTTGGTCAGCCTCCATGGTTACCCCATAGGTTTACATGTTAAAAAATGGTTTGAGCGATGGAGGATGCCGTATGTGTGCGAAGGATTGGTCGGTAATTTCAATACAATTGAATCTCGATCGATCTTACCGACAATTTTATCTTGCATTGTTGACATGAAGACGAAAATAAACTTCCAAAAACAAAAAAACAACATCTGCCGATAGATCTTGATCTAAGTTCGTGCCAATATGCATTGCAAAAGTAAAAGAAGAGTCCGTATATGGAGCTTTTGCGAAGCATTCATCACACGCGAAGCCGGTTTCAATCCATTTTAATGTATATATTGGAGAAAACTGCCAAGCATGTTAACGGCGGGCCATAGCCGAGTGGTCTAAGCATTGGTTTTCGATACACCTCTTGTTGTACGCAAGGGTTCGAATCCCGTCTTCGACAAATTGATAAATATTTTTAATTTTTCATTTTTTAGTCTATTTTTTTTTGGCATATAAAAGTATTAATGACTGCTTTAATATTCGAGAAATAGTTGTTTTCATACGCTCTCGGGAAGGTTACAATTGGGCTATTCCCCTCGGCAAGCCTCGGGGAATAGCACAATTCTAACCTTCCCTTGAGCGTAATAAAACAACTATTTCTCTCAAAGCAGTCATTAATACTATATTATTCCTTGTTAACATGAAGGAGCAATAAAAGTTTTAAATATTAAAAAAAAAATTGTTCACCTATACATCCATATATTGAATTAAATATTTTCTCATTGTCTTCTTACTTTCCCAGAGATGCCAACCTTCATCAACAACAACAAATATTCTTAAGAGCAAAAAACAGTATGTTTGAAAAAATCCCTCACCTTAACAAAACGGCAGTACCACGTAACATTGTTTTTTTTGTTTTTTGTTACCGACTCTGTCGGCAGCAAGCCAGGTCCGTGATAAAAAAAACCCACGCGGGAAGGAATGCAAGGTGCAGTTGAAGGCGCTGATTTGTGCTTGTGAACTTGTGACAAATAATATTAACAATGTCGTTTTAGAAGAATGTGTATTAGATCATTAATGTCAATTAAAAACCGTAGAGGACATAGGATAGAATCTTGAGGTACACTGGTACACCGTGTGTAATAGAAGAAAAATTGGAGGAATTATTATTATAAACTACATATTGAGATGACAGACAGATTTAAGTGTTGTTCTAGTTTCCGAGTGGTGAGTCAACACACTGATTACTGAGCTGGGAGACATTGCCAGGCATAAATCGAAACTTTACAAAAATGTTTATAAAAAATTACTTTAAAAAAAAATTAAAAACATAAAAAAAACGTAACAAAAGATACAAAAAACGTACTTCTGTATTCATAGCAAAAATTAAAATTCAACTGAATCTCCACATGCTTAGTTTTAAATTCAATTCAACTCAATTTATTTGGCATGAAAAGAAAATTCTGCTCTTTCTTTCTATCGATGAACCTATCCGTGAAATTTACATCAGGACACACATACCTGCATGGATGATGCCTTTGCTTTCAATGTTGAGCAGAACTCCTCATTGAGATCCATTAGCTCCAGTTTCAGGTCAGTCAGGTTTGGCATAGAACACAGTGCTTCTCCTACGTGATGTGATGAGGTTGATGTGGAACTCTTGAGACGAAAAAGGTTGAGAGTCTGGACCTGTATTGTTTGTGAATAGAGTCAAGCAGTTTACCTATACATGCATATATCAAATTAAATATTTTATGATCGTCTTCTTACTTTTAACAGAAATTCTATGTTTTACATAGTTATATTCACAATAAAATACACGACAAAACTGATTGAATACATTTTGTTTTCAAATTCAAATTTGCCTATTACAAATAAAGAACACACACACGTTGCTCTTGAGAGGATGATTAGTAAGGGTGATTTTTAAAATAATGCTATATGTATTCTTTATAGGGCTTCCAAACGGTTTGCATTGATAAGTTCTCATCCTAATAACACTGAAAATTAATAATACCCAGAAATATGCATTTGCTATTAATGTATTAAAGGTATTCTTTACTCTTGATATCATGTGCACAAGAATCCTAAGTCAGGTTTGCTGATATGGTTCAGTTTTGTAAATTAAGCCTTTATCAAAATTTTCTCTTAAAATACTTAATGAAATATTTTTTCCTATCAGCCAAACTTTTAAAAGGTTGGATATTAATTATTGATTAAGACAATATTAATCTCCTGCACACTTAAAATTCAACTGAATCTCTACATGCATAGTTTTGAATTCAATTCAAATCAATTCAAATAATTTGGCATGAAAAGAAAATTCTGCATTTTCTTTCTATCAATGACCCTCTCCCTGAAATTTGAATTAGGACACACATACCTGTATGGATGATGCCTTTGCTTTCAATGTTGTGCAGAACTCCCCATTGAGATACAATAGATCCAGTTTCAGGTCAGTCAGGTTTGGCATAGAACATAGTGCTTCTACTAGGTGATGTGATGAGGCTGATGTGGGACACAGGATATCACCAAGCTCGAGAGTCTGGATCTGCCATTTTTTGTGAATAGAGTTAAGCAGTTTACCTACACATGCATATATTTAATTAAATATTTCTCATCGTCTTCTTCCTTTTAACAGAAATTATATTTTATTACATAGTTGGATCTGCCTAGTTTGTCAATATAGTTAAGTAACTCATCTTAAATTTCTCATTGCATTATTTTATATATCACCAACTACATGTATATGCATAATAAAGCTGTATTAATATTCATATTCATAACAAAAACAATTGAATAATATTATTTCTTTTTCATTCAATTAATTCTTGTCTGTCAAAAAAATGATTATCAAAAGGATTATTTTAGTGGTCTTCTTCTTCTCAAGTCCATGTGCCACAAAGTTCACTCTTGTTTAGATTGTCCCAATCCAGCGTTGGATGCAATGCAATTGTTCATAAAAGTGGCCAGGACATACATAGAACTGCTCAAAGAAATCACTGGCCTGTTTGAGATGCCGAAGTAATGAGATGGCTAATGTTTGCATCATGGTTCTATGTGTACCATGCAGGTCAATGGATATATATACAGTTTACGTAACAATTTTACTCAAATGGCAGCTCCCAGGTGTAATGTATACACCCACAGTGATTTTAAGGGTGGTCTGTAATTCATTAATGTAAATGATTATTCAAATATAATCTCTGCATGAATCAAGTATTAGCGATAGAGTTATAATTATGTTGAAATGTTATTGATTACTGTTAATGAATAGTTGAGTACCATGCAAAAATATATTAATCTAAATATAAAACATAATTTTCTACGCCGCATGGAGTAAATATGTACAGAACAATAGATTGTAACTAATCATTTGGAATAAACTGTTCCTGTATTTGGACAATATAATTATTTGATGTGATTGTTTAGAATCTACTACACACTGCTGAATTGTATACTTTTCCCCTTACCTTAAGCATCTATAGAGCTTCACATAATTTATCACCCCAAGGGCATCCTTCAGGAGGGGAGGAGGGGGGGGGGGGGGTAGGGGGCGATCAGTTTCTTCCAAACTTCCTTAAATCCTATAGCACCTGTAAACCTCCAAGCCTTATCCCACACACTGCCGTCCGGTGTTATATAACCAGTTGAATACATTTATTTATTTGACGTTCATACAGATTGAAATACATGTACCTCCAATTTGAGATCCAACAAAATTAAGTCCTAGTTTAATATGTAAACTAACCCATGTTTTTACATCATTTTTACATCATTTTAATATTGATCAAAACCATACCCCACAATTTTTTAAGTCGGGGGCACGGCCACCCAAAATGGGCACTCAAGGGGGCGGGTGGGTAGCATGAATTTGAGAAAGAGGGAGAGAGAGGAGAGAGAGACAGGGGAAGAGGGGGGAGCAAGAGACAGGGTGAGAAGAGGCAAAGAGAGAGAAAGGGAGATGAGGGAGAGATAGGGAAGAGAGGGAGAGCAAAAAGATAGAGAGAGAGAAGGATGAAGGAGGTAGAAGAAAATTCTGAAAGAAGAATATCTCAATTGGTTCTTGAGATATTGCAATAGAGAAAGTGGACGGACAGCCCCTAAACGTAATGCCTCAGGCAGCACCTTTGGTGGGTGGAGGCATAAAAATGATAATAATCACAAATAATGATAACAATGATAATAGCTAGATGAAATCATCACATGAAAGACGAATGAGGTAGTTTGCCAGGGAGAGGCAGAAACCGAGGGAGACAGAGCAAGAGAAGAGAGAGGCAGAACAAGAGAGGGAGACGGAGACAGAGAGAAGGCTGAGGGGGGAAGAATAGAGAGACAGACAGACAGATGCAGAGACAGAGCAGGAGAAGGAGAGGGATGCAGAGCAAGAGAGTGAAAGGGAGACAGGGAGAGGGTGACAGAGTAGAGAGAGAGGAGAGAGGGAAAGAGAGAGAGAGATGCGATGGAGAATGATGCGTTTAATTTTTCTAGCATAAATAGAATTGAATATAGAGAAAGAGAGAAGTTTTATAGATGTGTTAACAATTCTATGTCTGTGGGAGGAATGTAAGCACTGCATATACCTGGGCTGAATAACTGGAAAAATATGAACGTCTGAGAAGGAGACTAGCATCATAAAAATAGGACAATTTGATATTTTAGCAGACTAGAGACATTGACCCTATAGGTATAATACACAACAAGGATTCATATTTCCCATAGGGTTGTACCAAACTATTAACATTCCTCTCCAATATAGATACAACACGCAAAAAAGGCATTTTATTACATTGTTTGTGATTATATATGATATTTTATACTAATCGAAGATGATAAAATGAAACATAAAATGAAAGCAAAAAAAATTAAAAATAAAATTGACCAACCAGGAATCGAACCTGGGTCACCAGAATAGGAGTCGAGTGCTTTAACCAATATACCAAAATATGTCCTATAGACATTACATGCAAAGCTGACAAACGGCCTTCGCATAGTCGCAATTTCTAATTTCAATTGAACTTTCGACCTGATCCCAACATCTGATAAAAAAAAACAGAAGGCACACTCGCGATAGCTCCTAGTCTCAGCTATAACATACTAAAATTTGGGGGAAAATAGAGCAAACAAATGTGAGATACTGCTCAAAGAACAATGTCGTGTACATTCATGATGTGAACGATATTCACCTTCCTTAGGCATAACACGCAAATTAAGAAAATCCTGACATGTTGCATCTAAAGGCATTGTTTAACAATGTTATATCTGAGATGCATGGCCCTACGTGTTATCAGTGACTGTGATATGGTGTATTATATACCTCACTTAAGAAATCCAGCCATCTGATTGGTCGAAATTGCATTCATAAACTTTAACTATTTCTGTAAAATTCCCAGTAACCATGGTTAAAACAGTTTTAAAATCCCAGTAACCATGGTTACTGGGAAAATAGTTCAGTCTCCATGGTTACCCCATAGGTTTACATGTTAAAAAATGGTTTGAGCGATCGAGGATACCGTACATGTGCGAAGAATTGGTCGCTATATTTTACCAATTTTGTAATACAACTAGCAGTGAATCCGGGCTAACTCGCCCCACGGGACATCTCGCCCCAGCATCAAAGACTGGGTCGAGATGTCCCGACACGATTTATCGATAGAGAGATACCAATGTGTATATGTTTGAGCTCATTGTACATTTTAGACGATATGGCTGATATTTGTTCACATTCTTTCGTCCTGGCCGTTAATTAGCAGACTACTGGTATCTCTCGATCGATAAATCATGTCGGGATATCTCACTGGGGCGAGATGTCCCGTGGGGCGAGTTAGCCCGACTCCCTAGTAGCTGCCAGCACAGACGACCGACTGTACTACTAGGCCAAAATGGCTGAATTAGAAACACTCCCAAGATTTCAGCTTCTTAATGATGATCAAATGAGAGACTTGATTGATTTTGCTGATAGCAAGAACACGAAAAATTCCGTTAAATGCTCCATGAAAATATTCGAAGACTTTCTGCAAGTTATCAAGACAGACCTCGATAGCGTAAACAAGCTTTCAAATTCGGAGCTGGACAATGTACTGCAAAAGTTTTACGCTGGTGCTAGACGGAAGAACGGAAGTTATTACATGAAGAAGTCAATGTTAGCTATTAGATTCGGACTTCAGCGTCATTTCCTCAACTGTAATAAGATAGATATCATCAAGCATGAAGATTTTTCCAACTCGACGAGAGTTTTTAAGTGTTTTTCAGCAATGCTTAAACAGGAAGGAAAGGGAGTTGTAACTCACAAACCAGCTATCTCAGCAGAAGACATGGACAAAATCCAAGGTTCGCTTGATTTGGATGATCCTGTGGGTCTTCAGGACAAGGTATTTATGGACGTAATGTTGTACTTTTGCAATCGGGGTAGAGAGAATTTGCGTGAAATGACACTTGACAGCTTTGACATTTGTGATGAAGGGGGAAAATGCTCCATACACTCACAAAAAATAACCGTGCAGATAAACTAGAGAAAAGCCAAGGTAGTGTCATGATTCCAACTAATGGTCCACGATGTCCTGTTGCCTCCTTCTTACGCTACAAAGATAAATTGGGAGTTTTTGGCAGAGACCGGCAAATGCACAGGCCAAGCGTGAGTTGAAATCCAATCCATCTTCTTCTGATCCATGGTAGGTAATTTAATGCACCCCTAGGGAAAAACAGCATCGGAGACAAAATGAAAACAATTTCATCTCGTGCAGGTACCAAGGCTTACACCAACCATTGCCTAAGGGCAACCAGCATCAGTACCCTACAAAATGCTGGGTTCAGAGACAGAGAAATCATGAGTGTCTCCGGACACAAGGCGGAGACCAGTCTCAAACACTATGCTATGACCAGCAGTACAGCCAAAGAAAACATGAGTCATGCTATCGCGGCAGCCTTTGATCCGAAATCAGTACCATCGTCATCAAACATAAGCCATGGTATCGCGGCAGCTGTTGATCCGAAATCAGTACCATCGTCATCAACATCTACTGGTGGTCAGCGTAGTTAAAGCCAGGAACTGCGGGAACTAAATGATATTTTCAATGAGATCACAAATAACCCAGAGAACTTCCCACGCACATGCAACATCACTACAAGTAGCCATGCCCATGTTTCTACTAGTCAGCAGGTGCAAGCCCCCATATATCATTTTAACAATTGTACTGTAAACATTTTTAACAAATAGAGATATTTTCTACGGATTTCTACCAGTTGAGTTATTTTCTACAGAGTTCTACAAATAGAGTTATTTTCTACGGATTTCTACCAGTTGAGTTATTTTCTACAGAGTTCTACCAGTTGAGTTATTTTCTACGGAGTTCTACAGTTGAGTTATTTTCTACAGAGTTCTGAGTTCTACCTGAGTACCTGTTCTACCAGTTGATTGGTAAGTTGACTCTTCGGTATATAAAAGTATTAATGACTGCTTTGATATTCGAGAAATAGTTGTTTTTATACGCTCTTGGGAAGGTTACAATTGTGCTATTGCCCTCGGCACGCCTCGGGCAATAGCACAATTGTAACCTTCCCTTGAGTGTATAAAAACAACTATTTCTCTCAAAGCAGTCATTAATACTATAATATTGAAGCCCTGAAAAGATGGTGCTTCAAAATGATCAAGAAATGCCTCAAAAAAGTAAAATTCTTTGAGTGACCGGTTTTACCATACTCATTTTTCCCAATGGACTGTAGTGTTATAAAAACTGTTAGGAAAACGAATTCCAATCATAGATATCCTGATAATGAGACAGGAGATTGGATTGTAAAAGTCATGGGATTCATGTATGACCTAAAGGTTTATAATTATGATTGCAGCATGAGCTAAATCCAGGATTTTTTTTAGAATCAAAGTTACCCAATCCCTTTATAAAATATTCACTATGATGACGTCATCTAAATAAAAAATGGTGGGAACTGATGGTAGGGAATTGTCTTCGCTACAACATATCACAATTTGGGAGACAATCGATCGATATTTACAGAGATACACTGAATTTTCCATAAATATGCTGACGTCATAATATGCAAATTCCTATTTTGAGTTCCGAGGCTATTATGACGTCTCAATAAATTTAATGGCCATATTAGCCATGAAATCATATCTCCAACGCATAGTCTTTCCATATATGAAGAATAAAATTGGGGGTTCCCAAGCATCCAAGGAGCTATGATGGATTATGTATAGGCATGTTTTTGCCCATATATGCTATGTATTACAAGAGCTCGCGCACACGGACATTTATCTTGAATGGACGCTCATTCCGTTATTAATCATCACAAAAAGATAAACATGGTCTCAAATTGTTCAGAAAAAAATGTGAAATATCATGAAAGAATAAGAATGGCGATTCTATGTTGCGTACGGCCATGACGAGCGGAGTCACATTTTTTTCGGAAATGCTTAAAATGCTGAAACGTATTCTAATTTGATTAAACAGTTATTTTGAGCATTTTGAAATTTTGCGCGCTTACTGGAGCGAGAAAATATGCATACGCGCGCGTTTTTTTACATGAAATTGACCGGACAGATATTGACCTTGATCATGATACATATGAATGATAAATGACTTTCCGTTATGAAGATATGACAATAACTTGAATGTAAAAAAAAATAAAAAAATTGACGCCTGGATGACATCACGATAACCTGATGACCTTTAAAATGTTGCTGTCACGTCTTATGAGAATGACCTATGACAGTGGCCAAATTGAAAGAAATTGACTGTACTGATCTTGAGTTATTACATACACATAAAAGTGAATCAGTTCTTTTAATTATGTAAAATTCACTTTAAATAGACCTTATTGCCGATGTGGGATATAAAACAAATATTAACCTCCTGGATACAAACTATCATCGCCTCGGTGAACAGGGGGCTACCATCATCCCTCGCTCGGGATGATAGTAGCCCCGAGATCACCTCGGTGATGATAGTTTGTACCGTTACCTTCGTAGTCGAATAATATTTGCTTATTATACAATCCTTAATCACGATTCGTAAAGATTATGCAAATTCCCTTCTAGCAAATGCGAATTTGACCGACACTAAGACGCATTAGAGTCCAAAATAAAGGCAAAAATCACTCTTCCTTTTTTCCTTCCCATTGGATGTAGCATAGTATGAGATTTTGTAAGTATCTAAAAAATTAGTATATTATTATCTACCCAATGTTTTACTACATGTGCTTTCTCTTTTCATTCATAAAGCTCCACTTCTAGACATAATCAGAAGATGAATAATTTCTTTTTTTGCTTCAAAACTGCCTTGAATGAAATACTCTAACCACATTTATCTATCATATTAAATGGGAAGTGATATAAGAAAGTTATTAATTTTTGAAGGTGCGATCAACAAAAGACAATTTGGCAACTCTGTGACGAATCTTGCAAGGTCACCTCCCTTTGACCCTGTAATAAAATACTCAAAATTTTTTTACTTTCCTTTAAGAAATTTTCACTCATACATTTACCCTAATAATATTTTATAGTTAATGCAACCCCTGTATGAAACAAATCGATTCCATCATCAATAACTAAGAAAATGAAAGTTTATGACATTTTCTGTACAGAGCAAATTGGACAGGAGCTCACAAGATACATCACAGTGTTGCAAATATGAGTTCACTGATGACAAAATAGACTAGATGGACTTCATGCCTCCGCCATGGAGCAATTTTATAAACCAAATCAGAAGCATTTTTTTAAATTCAAGTTTGATTGTAATCCATTAACAGGTTCTCAGAATATCATGATTACAAGCTTTTTTTCATATACATGTATGACCCTTTGATCTTTGACCTTGTAACCTCAAAACCTAATCAGTTCATTGGCTCTGCAAGATACATAAATAAATCAAGTTTGGCGGTAATCCGTTAAGCAGTTCTTGAGATAATGCGATCATGGGCCATTTTTTGCATACATAAGGAGCCCCATGACATTTGAACTTTGAACTTTGACCTCATGACCCCGTAATCTAATCAGTTCATTGGCTCTGCAAGATACATACATTACCTAAGTTTGGAGGGAATCCATCAATCCGTTCTTGAGATAACATGATCACAAGCTTTTTTTTGCATACATAATGAGCCCTGTGACCTTTGACAGTTGACCCCAACATCTAATCAATTCATTGGCTCTCCAAGATACATACATGACCTGAGTTTGGCGGGAATCCATTAATTGGTTCTTGAGATAACGCGATCACAAGAAACGGGACGTACGGACAAATGGACAACCCGAAAGCATAATGCCTCCGGCTACTTTGTAGCGGAGGCATAAAAATGTATAACTTTTGTAACTTTAATCAGATATTGCTCAAACTGTCACTAATTTGTTTCTCTTATTTTTCTGCTTTCATTAACACCAATTTAAAACAGGGTGGACTTCTCCTTTCAGTATGTTGTGATCTTCCTACATATGAGTTTCTTTTAGAGCATTCAAGTTGTAAAAGCGTTCAACTGGTTGTATAAGCATTCAACTGTTTTACAGGGTGCTCCCGCCTAAGTGAAAAGGCCATCAATATGTAAAATGTATATTAAGAAAGGGAAGAGATGGTAATGGAATTAAATTAAATTAGACAATCGCACATACATGAACATCACAATTGTGGATGAACTGCTCACCTTTGATTCTTTTCCTTTCTTTGCAAGTGTTGCAAAAAAACAATGATGGAATGCTTTTTTAAGATAAACATTCTTCAAGGATGGCATGGAGCATATCATCTCTGCCACATCAAGTGACGTAGTAGGTCCACAATCTTTCCTAATCTCGAGTTTACCCTGGATAAAATGACAAATTGTTTACTGATGTGATACAGAATATAGATGTTCACTCGTATGTTAGGCATATAAATGTATAAGCTAAATGAGCGGTTGCCCTAGACGTACTGCTAGAACTACAGAGAGTAAGAGGGAAAAGGAGATTTAGACGTTACAGGCTGAAGAACTATTGCCACTACATTTCATACCAAATTCTTTTTTTGCAACAGTAGAAATAACTCATTATAGTTTACCAATTACTAAACAGAGAATTCTTAAACAAAATAAAAGGAGAGTTAAAAGGAACAGGCTGCAAAAAAGATTACTTTCCATTTGTGTTTCCTGCATGTTCACACCATATGGTGACTCATACCTTAATCATTTACAAGAAAGAAGTAAAATGTTGATACCCCTGAGCAAGTATATATTCAGTCTCACCAAGGGAGAGTGAAGATGAACTGATCTACAGTAATTTTAGTCCTCCAATCAATCTCAAGTTATAAAGCTGCACTGCCTAACAAGAGTTGAAAATGTACTAGTTGCAACTGCTTTCAAATTCAAACTGTGCTGCAATGATTCATATCAACGGCACCAATTTTAGACAGGGCCTAGGATATCAGATACATTCCTTGTACTTGATAAACATTTATAAACCATGAATTTTGATTTCAATTAGGTAATAGATATTTTGGGGAAGGGAAGAAAATGTGCAAACTATTGGTGAAATCTCCTTTCCCCAAATTCTCATCTACAGGGTACATGTAGATGCAATGTGCATATTGTAATGCACGTGCCAGTACATAGGTTGTATTGAGGTCCTCGTCAATGCCTTGTACATTTGCTCATTCTGATTTTTTTTCTTCTTATTCTTCTTGCTCCCAAATCACATTTGTTTTGCACGCAGTGTTTGTTATTCCTAATTAGATCCCTTTCTCTATCCCGATTCCTTTCACATTTTGTATCCACATTCTTTACACTCACATCATTCCTCAATTGTACTGTAAGAACATAAAAGGATCGATGCCCTAAAAGGAAGAAATTGTACAAAAATGGATGAACTAATTTTGTTTACCTTATTGCAATATGATCAGACTTACCACATGTGGTCCAATGAATGCATAACCAGCTACAGTGTGTGCTGTCATGTATCTATCTATGGTCAGCATACTCTCCTCTGATGATGAAACCCTGTCCTTCATCAAGGCTGCTACACCTGGGTCCTGACTCTCAAAGGCTACATCAACAATGAAATGTAAATCTCTAGTGATGTTCAAACAATTCAGCATAGAGTTCAGTACATAGGTTGCAATGTGTGTGTTCTGTGACACAGTGAAGTACAGGAGATACCTAAACTCCTCCTTCCCTGGCAGCACTACTTGCTCAATCAGCCTGTTGAATTCATTACGATCTGATTTATACAGGGAAGCAAGATGGAATCCAGCCATGTACTCCTGAAACAGTTTGTGAGGGAAGAAGACCGACAATTGCACATGAGAATTCATCTCATGTGTATCCATGTCAGCATTAATTCTGTCCTCCTGAGACAAAATCCCGACAAGGCAGGCAGTGTCCTTGGATTCTATTTCTTCGCACGTTTGGAAATCATCTTCACCGAAAGACAAGGTATTTTCTAGCAGACCATTGAAGGCTTGTTTGGCAATCGGTCCAAGGAGCTCATCAATTTTTTTTAAATGGTCAGTAAGTGAGCGGCTGCCTACTTTCTTCACCTCTTTCTGAGCATAATGTTCTTTTAGAAAGGCAATCATTTCTTTGAATATCTGAGAAAAAGTTTTCAGTGATTTCATTTTCTTTATTTTTTGCTCGTCACGTTTTTTCCACATAAGACACAACATGGCTACATATATAGGATAGGGGGCCATGTTTTCATATATGACATCATTATCACTGAAGAATTGGATAAGCTGATTTGCTTTATCATCATTCTTTGGAAAGTATTTGTGAATGTAAACTGACAAATTCTCTCTGTTGAAACCCTCAACATGAATGAATGTGTAGAGCTCCATTAGATCACCATCTGATCTAATCTCCACTGCTCTCCATGGGCGAGTAGTCACCAAGACTGGGCAAGAGACAATTCGATCTGAACAAAGAATATCTACAAGTCCAATATCACCAGTCTCAGATGAGCTTCCGCATGCCTCTGAGGAGGTGACACTTGGTTGTGATTCGCAAGATTTTGTCTTCATGATTAGACCACTGGCTTCGTCTAGCCCATCGAATGCGATGAATACCTTGTCAGGATTTGACTGGATATACTCAGTCATCTGAGAAACCGTTGCTGTATTGTTTTTGGCCAGATAAGACTTTGCAATCTCGCCAATAGTGTGTTTCTTAAATTCACGGAGAGGAACAATCAAGACCCACACAAATTGTTTGAAATACTCTCCTTCAATCCAGTCCCAGGCAATCTTAGCACAAAATGTTGTTTTTCCAGCCCCCGCCTCTCCCTGAACCATGATCCGCTTGGGGAACTCTCCATTGACTTTGAGATTAAGGATATCATTGTAATCTAGCATTTGCTTCTCTGTCCCATGCTCTTTTTGTAAGAAGAGATTAGTATACATGTCTTTTAACTGCACAATGGAAGCTAGATTGAGAGGATCAGCTCTGATCTTACAGACAGTTGACCTGTACTTGGACTTGATTTCATCTGCACACCGCTCAACCAGTTCAGGAGAAAGTGGTTTGGTCTGTGATTCTGTCAGTCTTGATGGCCCTCCTAAAAATACATAGATAATCCATATTCACATGATTACACTTTAAGGATTGTAAAGGCCTGAGACAGTCCTACATGTTTGTCTGAATTCATATGACTTCATTCAATTTTAAGGGCATTTAAAATCTGAGTAATTTTTGTATACAGGTGTTTGTACTTGTAGATGAATATCAATGAAATAATTTTCCTCGGACATTTCAGCAATGCAGAGTTTCCCTCACATTTACACATCTTATTTTGAAGAAAAAACAAGACAAATATGACTGCATCTCTAGTATGTCTCTGCCTAAATTCAATTAAGATCAGGGCATGGAGCAATCTTTAAATATCACAATGAGAATTAAAAGACTATATACAGTATGTGTGCATATAAATACATGTTGAGTGATCTTTACAACCTTTGATCTGACAATCCAACATCTGATGAATTGTCTCCTAATGGTGAAGCTACATGTACGTTATATATTACATTATGTGTTATTAATTTTGTTTGTAAACTTTTGTAATTCGGCTTAACGCCGCGATGAAAGTCTTCTTTGAAATAAACCATTTTGAATTGAAATGAATTTAATTGAATACCATATGGATTTTTAAAATAAAAATTTCAGCTAAAATAGCTCAAAGTAGTTATTGTTATGGTGATAAATGTTTCATTTTGACCTACTTACCTTGAGATATAATCAGTTTGTATCTAAATGGGGATTCATACCAACATCAAATTTGAAATTCATGGCTCAAATGGGGCTAAAACCCTAAAACTAATTTGATTTGACCCTCATGGCCCTTGGCCTTTGACCAACTTATCCCAAAATCTAATCATTTCATGTCACTTTGGTGATGCATGCTAACACCAAGTTTGAAGTTCATAGCTCAAGTGGTTCTTGACATGTATCATGAGGCTAAAACCTTTAATTTCAACAATTTACCTCTATAACCCACTTACACCCAAATCTAATCAAGATTATCTTCATCTTCTAAATAGCAGGACATACGACCCAAAAACATATTTTCTCCTGCACCACCTTCCTTGGGGGGATGCATAATTACAGTTATAATGAAATGACACATTATGTGCACATAAAAAAAAGCTGAAATGTAAATTCTGCTGTCACTCAAAGTACTTGTACTATATTGGTGTCAAGAAAATATTTAGGATTAATAAAGTTAAATTAGTAAATTATAAAAACATACATGGGGCCGGATAAAATTTGACACTTCTGTAAATTGTGGAAAATGTATAGAACACAGAGCACTCGCTTTCTATATGGTAAAAATTGACTTCACTTTTATGCATGGTTTTCTATATCTTCTGTTATAGCAAGAAATAGTATCTGTTTACCTGTGATGTTTGGAATTTGAGATTCAGTGAGCAATCTGTCTGATAGGCCACCCAAGTCAATCGCTCGAAGTTTGTCTGCCAAAAGCTGCCGTTTGTTTGAGTGTGGAGGTTGCTGCATGACATTCCATCTCATGAATACGTGCAAAAATGCATTTGGATAGTTATTCGACTTCTGTATCAGGATGCTCTGTAGCTCAGAATAGGAGACACCTAGAGATATCCCTACAGCCTCGTAGTAAGATGGAAGGATATCCTTGGCCAGCCTCAGGAACTCCATGTCACTGACAGTACTGTAAAATGAATAATAAATCAATTGGGTACAATAGAATATTAGCTAGAGAACATCCTATTGGTTGAGAAGTTATCATGTGACACTCAACAATTTGTATTACGTGCTCGAGCATGCAATATAATAGCATTGGGATATCAGAATATAATGCCTGTGAAATTAACATTTGAAACATATTGCCCCACATTGCAGGCCAGAGCGGATTGTCTTACAATACAAGGGTAATTATTAAAAAAAAAACAGAGTTTGGCATTAAATACATCTGTGTCCAGTACATGTGACTTTTAGCAAGACTGGGCAAAATTATCATTTTGACAACTCCAAAACCTCACTTATGTGCTACATGATCAACCTTTCGAATGGCTTTCACATTATTTTTTTCGCGATGCAGTCGTGTAACTAGTCAGATCCCCTTTTCATAAAACTTGTTATCAATCACAAATCCTAAATTTCTATGACAAATCTGCTCTCAGCCGATCAAATGCCACAATTTCAGTAGCTTATAACACTTATTGTAGCTTGTGTAATATCGATAACAAGGTTTATAAAACGGGGCCCAGATATCAACTTGAATCTTAACCCCCTGTGTGTGTAATTGGGTTTTCACAGAACGTGTATCAATCAGATATGATTATTTACGTCTGGGACCGACCTTTAACGTCACCATCCGAAAGACGTGACTCAGTTTCGAACCTGCGTCCTCGGCTGAATCAGTTTGTAACTTCCACTGTTAGCTGGATTACAGGCGCACGCCACAACGCCTAGTTAACCCCCAAAGGTGCTACTGGTATATATATATATACTAGCAGGACCCGCGGAAATCCGCGGGATTCTAGAGGGGGGCGGGGAGTGTAAATAGATAAATAGAGACTGTCTAAATTAAAACCACAAAGAACTTTATTTGCCATTCAGGCCATTAAAAAAATATACATGTTTAGCGTCCCCGCCCGCTTCCTTTTTGGGGGCCACCTCCTATTTTTTTTTTTTTGAAATTTTTTTTGAAATATTTTTTTTTTTTTTTGAAAGAGAAAAAACAGCGTCCCCGCCTGCTTCCTTTTTGGGGGCCGCCTCTTATTTGTTTATTTTTTTATTTTTAATTGTTTTTATTTATTTTTTTTTATTTTTTTGAAAGAAAAAAAACATGAAAAGCACTGCTAAAATGTATTTCTGATTTTAAAAAAGAAAAAAAAAAAAAATTTCAGCCGCCATTTTGAAAAATAGCCCAAATGTCAGGGAAAATGTACAGAGCGGCCATTTTGAAAGAAAACAAAAAAAAGGGCCTCCTCTTTCCCATTTTTCAAAAAAACAGGACGCTAAACATGTTTTTTTTTAATTTGGCCTTATATAAAAAAAAAAAAACCATCCAACTGTACCGGTAGTTATTCTTTAAGCTACTGGAACTGCGTAGAGTTCCGTAGTGTGGCGTACCGACTACGCAGAAATTAGGCTGCGTATTAATGGGAAAATAGTCCCTGCGTAGGTTATGTGTAGGCTGGCGTACAGGTTTGCTTATGGTTGCTTACTGTGTGGAAAGCTTTTACTGCTTTGTCGATCTGGCGTAGGGTAGCGTACTGTTGCGTAGGCATGTAGCGTAGTGTTGCGTAAAAAGGCATACTTTCTGCGTCAAGTTTCTACGCCGAAAGTACGTGAAAAAAATTAAACATGTTGAATTGTTTTCGTTCATCTGGCGTACCCCTTTCCGTCCCTCAGCACATAGTAACGTAGGCCAGCGTAGTCGGTACGCAACACTACGCAACTCTACGTATTGACCCCGCGCCAATTAGTGACCCGCAAGTGTCACAAATAAAGTATTAAAAATATGCTCATCTGACCCTAATTAAACGCCTAAAACCCCTGAGCTTTCGGGGGTTTATGGCCCCTTGAAACCCATGGACCCCACGCCTATATTATATATACACTCAACTCGCTGCGATCTAATCTCTCCCCCCCCCCCCAACTTTGAAGAACGTAACCCCCGAGCTTTTGGGGGTTTATGGCCCCTTGAACCCCACGCCTATATTATACATGTCTATACACTCAATTACTCAGGACCCGCGGAAATCCGCGGGATTCTAGAGGGGGGCGCAGGCAAAAAATTAAGTTTTTCATTTCGGGGGCTCCATTTCAAATTTTTGGGAAATTTTTGGGGGCTTTTTTTTCACTTTCGGGGGCTCTTTTTTCTGGGGCTACTTTTTCATTAGTTCATAAAAGGATAGGCCTTCACTTTGTTGAGATTTGTTTAGTAGGCTAAGGTTTCAGGCTTCCTACTTCATAATTGCCTATTTTAAAAAAAAAAAAAAAATTCTAGTTCAATAACTAAGTTTTCATGCATCGATGCAAGAACTGTAACATAATAGACCCTAGATTGTGATTATTTCTGACCATGAATTTCGATAATCATTTTTCAAAGTAAAATTTTCACAAGAAAATCAGACAGTCTTTTAAAAACGTAGACATTAGTAGTCTAATACTTTTACTAATTCTAAGCTCAGGTTTCGTAAATCTATTTACGAAACTATATTGAAATCGCGGCAATAATGATGCAAACCAACAGATAACAATTTCAAAGTGTCAAATCTCTTCGACTCGAGCTCAGCTGAGCTGAACTCACACACACTGCAGTGTAACTCCAGGAAGCTCGAACACCGGCGCCGCAGGCGTCCGATGCCTGCGGTGCACGGTGCCAGTGCTGGAGCTTCCCGGAGTTACGCTGCACTGTGTGTACTTTATGTGTGTTGACTGAAGGCAGCTTGCGACTGAACTGTCAGTCCAATGGTTTTCTTGTGAAAACTTTCTTTTAGAAAATGATAATCGAAATTCAGTATACATGGCCGTAGTAATCACAAAATAAGCTTTGATTTCATACCTCCATTCACGAAAACTATATAAAAATCGCGGCAATCATGATGGAAATAGGTCTCTAATTTTGGACGTCGACAGGAATTAGCCCCGTGTATCTCTCTGGCTTGTGCAGCTAGTACAAAGCACACCCTATAGCAAGACGGCTTACTCGTGGAGTAATCCCGCCCTTTGCATAGAGCATTTCATACGCAACATAATGTGAGTTGCTCGTCGTCTGTCGTGTGTCTCTTTGATACGGATGTAATGTTGAATATCCATGAGGTATCTCTTTCGTCACGCATATCGTGCATTATGCATATCGCGTCTGTTTTCGCCCTGGACGTCGACACGGAGGAGGACCTCAGGCGGAGTATAGCCAATTTCACAGAGTAGACTCTCCCGCGGACGATGGCACCGGGCACGGGTACCCCGAGGGGAGGGTTCAGGAGGAGATAGCCGCACCAACTTCGGTCGGCGATCTCATTAAAAAACAATAGAATACGAAGGCTCGCGGAGACGTCGCGCCCCCCCTCGGAGCCTTCTCGTATTATTATTATAGATATATATATACATGTATGCATACCTTACTGCAGTGTTAGGACCTGGATTGTTTTCAATGTCACCAGATCTCATCAAGAGGATCAGGAGCAGATAGAGAAGGCAGAATCCATTCATAGTGTAAGATGTCCTTCTCACTCGACAGAAATGAAGTCCTCTGGGAAATGGTGATATGACATGGGCGACAATACCTGAAAACAATATTTAGAAATATCTACATTATGTACATAAAACAGATCATGGAATAAAGATCCTTGACAGTTTCAATTTCACTATATCTATAACATCATAATGTTTGGGGGACTTTCGACGCCATGAAGTTCTTTGCCCCCGCCTCCTGAACTACGCCCTTGCGGGGAATGGCTAGGACCAGCCACGAAGCTGTGCCTCGCAGGGTTCTTCATTTTGAGCAGAAATGTTGTGATTCTGTGTAGTCGTCAATCTTTCTCGACGCGAAATGAGAGTAACGTGGACTGCACTGTATCAGAGATCCCAGAAGAGCGTGCATAAGATAAATCCAGCAGTGTGGATGAAGGATAGTGACCGACATGGAGATGGATTGCCACGCAGGTCATACTCTGTAGCAATTAAGGTGTGATAAAGCACAGGAATCTGAATGGATGCACCATTTTTTTGTAAGGTAGAATTTAATTTAAGCTAGAAAGTTTACTACAAGAAACTTCCTATTGCAATACCTTTGTCACTGCATTCCTCATATCAATAGCTGTTATTTTATTTTCAGTAGTATATTTGTAATAGCCTGATGATAAAGATTAAGGTCATCGAGCAGAGCAAAATTAATTATTTTCCAAGAAGTGCAGCAAAAGACCCACAGGAGATGAGTATCTTTGACATGCCATAACTTAATAAAGCAATATCCATTTTCAATCATCTTTCATGCACCACTGGATTTCTCTTATAAAAGCTTTACATTGATGTATAGTTTGACCATATTTGAAGAAGAAAAGACAAGTTATACATACAGTGCGTATACAAATAAAGTGTACCCAACTTTGGTATCTGCCAATTAGAAATTCATAACCAATATGACTTTGACATTTATTTCATGAGGAGTAATTGTTACTACGTAAAAATATTTGGGCACAAACATTGAAAATGAACAGGTCTGGAATGGGCATACAAAAGCCCTGCAAGCTTGCAACAAAAGAGAGTCAGCGAATGAACTTTCTGCGAGAGCTGCATTCATACCATGTCGATAGGACCATACCGTCAATTTTTTTATTGGTCTGTATAGTTGAAAGTATAAGGACATATAATTCTGTAGTGTGGGACAATTAGTGCCAGAAAGAAAGACCAAAGAAAACTCAAAACCATTGTCAAACAAGCAGCTAAAATAATAGATAGCCCAATGGATTTTGATGAGGTTTGTAGAAACAGAGCAGTGTGTAGTGCCCCTCGGGGGGAGGGGGGTGATGGTCTAAGGGTGTAATTCTCAGGGGGGATGACTATCCTCGGGGGGTAATTGTCTACGGCGTTATTTCCCGGGGGCTAATTTGTCGCTGTTTTCACGAAGTGACGGCAGTGGAAAAAAATGCATTCACTTTGCGTTACGATTTTCCTCACTACCGTCACTTCGTGAAAACAAGGACGAATTGTCCTCGGGCTTATAGTCCTTGGGGGTAGTTTTCCAGGGGGTAATCTTCCGGGGTGATTGTTCCGGGGGTAATTCACAAATTGTCCTAGAAGTAAAACCTGTTAAAAAATGTGTTAAAGCCACACCGACTGTCCTACTGGTAGCTACTTGCTCCCTCTATATAGAAAACTTCCCCAATCGGTGTGTGTTGGTCCCCCATGATCCTCTTTTTCTTATGTTGATTGAGAGCTGAGTTAATGAGATATCCGCCTGTCAGTCACTCCAGCAAAGCAGAGAGAGTCAATGCTAATGCGTGACCTCTAGTGCTGCATTACGTGTTAATAGGCAGCATTTGCACACATGAATAGTTAATACACTCTAATACACAAATGCACACAATCATGCCGATGCGGCTGATCGGCAAGTTTGACAGTAGACTTACAATTAGAATTTTTAAATTATTCTTTCTAACATATAAGTTTTAAAAAAATTGTATTTTACTGCTTTTTAGGTATAGGCCTACTGTCATCAATTTTCACTAAAGTACTGATTTTGAGTGAAATCAGCCGAGTTTTGTACAGTGGTGTTTGAAATGTTGAGAATGTATATAGCACAGCTTTTAATACACAGCCAGGATAGTAATGCAGCTATGTGTGCTGTCAGTGACCTCGCTGTGTGGTCTAATCCCGCTTCAGGCTGAACTAGTGCAGCCGGCCTTTAAAGTAAAACTAGGTGATATCAAGAATCAAAATGATGACTGTAAGTGTAACCAAATAAAAGAACTAGAGTCTAGCCTACAACTATAACGTGTATACCCAGACGTTCTCAGACCACAAGATTATATAGTAGCTATCTGACTACATGTATGTGTTGCTGGTGTGCATTATTCACACAAGTATCAACAAGGTCAAGGAACAAGGTTATTTGAAATAGAGTCTAGACTAACCTTGTTTCATTTCAGTCTGATCAAGTTTACAAAGGCAGCATGTCGTCGACAGACTTAAATCTAAATCTACTGCAACTGAAGAAAGATAAATTTAGTACGATGAATCACTGAATCGAACTCAGAAGCAAGGTGGCGTGGCAGTACGTGCACATTTCTGGCAGAAAAAATGGCGAATGTACAACTCAAGTGGCCGACCGAATTAAAGGGGAATCCCCGGCGCGCGGCTGTGCGCGTGTGTGTTTTGTCTTAGTCATTTCAGCAAGATTATATTCTACGTTCGCGCGGACATGTCTTCGTATCTCTAGTGTGGTTGTGGTTGTTGTTTGTATTTTGGGCGTTCAGTCAAATTTGACTTATGCTTAAGTTTAATCAGTCGGGTAGTCGAGTCGTCAAAGTTCCTAGCTTGGAAACTCCTGAAAATGCCTGAGCTTCACTTGTCCACTCCTGGGTTTGTATATACACAATTAGAAAAAATTGTGAGGTCGCAGTGCACAAACTTTAATCTGATATATAAAAGAGGAAAAAACAATCCTGATGAGTGATATTTTTTTCCTCATTTTTAAGCACAACCTAATCATGAAAGGCCGACAAGAGCTTTAATAAGAAACATCATGAATAATATCAACTTAAATGCGAGCGAGCGAAGATCAGAGAGCGAGTTTTTAAAATTATATATTGCTCTTATAGGGTTAGAGGGGCGCGGGAGGGGCGTCGCCAAAAGGGGAAGTGGGGGTGCGACACCCCCCCCCCCCCCCCCCCCCACCCGTCAGGATATTGTCGGTAAAATTGCGCTGCCGTCGGGAAAAAAGAGAAAAGGGGGAGGGAAAAAAGAGAGGGAAAGGGAAAGAAAAGAAAAAAGAAAAGAAAAGAAAAGAAAAGAAAAGAAAGAAAGGAAAAGAAAGGAAAGAAAGATTAGAAAGGAAAGAAAAGAGAAGAAAAACAGAGGGAGTAGAGGAAAGAAAGGAAAATGAAGAAAAGAAAGAAAAGGGGAAGAAAAAAAAAGAGAAAGGGGAAACAAAAGAAACGGGGGTTGAAAGAGAGGAGAGAGAGAGGGAGCTAGGCAAGAGCCTGAGAGAGAAGGAGTGGGAGTAAAAGAGAGAGGGGATTGTTGGGTGGAGTCGTCTCGTCGAGGGAGCAAGAAAGACACGGGTAAATATGTTGCTGTGTCAGGTCAGCTGTGTCAGTATTCTTGCTCGATCCTCGTGTACTATATCAATGCAGAAGTTTGAAGTTGGTGAGATGTATATTGTCGGTCGGCCGACAAGTTTTTTTCCCTACGAACTTTGACGTTTTATCCGCTGTGATGACTTCGAGAGTGACTACAACTACAATACTACAAAACTACAATACAATTCCTATAATATTAGCTAAAGAAATCAGGGGTTTAAAATTTTCGGGGAAACTAAATTCAAACAAGGATTAAGAGTCAACAACGGTACTACGAATTATCTTCCTTTCTCTATACTTTGATGAAACTCAAAAAATTCCGCGCTTCGCGCGGTAGGCAGGCGCGTAGCCACGGGGGGGCACGGGGGGGCACGTGCCCCCCCTAAAATTTCCAGGATCGGTTGAAATTTTGTAGACCCCTTTTTTTGACCTCGATCGATTACATGTATGTGCCCCCCCAAACATCAAACTCTGGCTACGCGCCTGGCGGTAGGGGAATACTTCATTTAGACGAGTCGAGAACGGTACAATTACGAATCGTCTGCTTTCTCTAATATTTTAAGGAAACGTCAAAGCTTCCGCGCTTCGCGCGAAAGGCGGAAACTGAATTCAGATAAATAGAGCTTAATAAGAGTCGGAAACGGTGCATCGAATCGTCTTGTATAATAATTAAATCAAACGTCTAAGCTTTTCGCGCTTCGCGCGAGAAGGGGGAAACTGAATTCAGACAAGGATAAAGAGTCGAAAAAGGTGCAACGAATCGTCTTCATTCTATAATAATTAAATCAAACGTCTAAGCTTTTCGCGCTTCGCACGAGAAGGGGGAAACTGAATTAAGACAAGGATTAAGAGTCGAAAACAGTACAACGAATCGTCTGCTTTCTCTTATAATTTGAGGAAACGTCAAAGCTTCCGCGCTTCGCGCGAGAGGGGGAAACTGAATTCAGACAAATAGGGCTTATTAAGAATCGAAAACGGTACAACGAATTATCTGCTTTCTCTAATAAATTAAGGAAACGTCAAAGCGGGGAGAAACAGAATTTAGAGCCGAGCACGGTTCAATGTATCGTTTACTTTCTCTAATAATTTAATGAAACGTCAAAACTTCCGCGGGACGGGGAGAACTGAATTCAGATAAGGATAAAGAGTCGAGAACAGTACACCGAATCGTCTGCTTTTTCTCATAATTTAATGAAACGTCAAAGCTTCGCGCGGGAGGGGAAAACTTCATTTTGACGAGTCGAGAACGGTACAACGAATCGTCTTTTTAATTTCTCTAATAATTTAAGGAAACGTGTAAGCTTCCGCGATTCGCGCAGGAGGGGGGAAGACTGAATTCAGATAAGGATTAAGAGTCGAGAACAGTACAACGAATCGTTTGCTTTCTCTCATAATTTAAGGAAACGTCAAAGCTTCCGCGCTTTGCGCGAGAGGGGGAAACTGAATTCAGACAAATAGGGCTTATTAAAAGTCAAAAACGGTACAACGAATCGTCCGCTTTCTCTAATAATGGAAACGTCAAAGCTTCCGCGCTTCGCGCGAGAGGGGGAAACTGAATTCAGATAAATAGGGCTTGATAATAGTCGGAAAAGGTGCAACGAATCGTTTTCTATTTATAATAATTAAATCAAACGTCCAAGCTTTTCGCGCTTCGCGCGAGAAGGGGGAAACTGAATTCAGACAAGGATTAAGAGTCGAATACAGTACAACGAATCGTCTACTTTCTCTAATAATTTAATGAAATTCAGACAAGGATTCACAGTCGAGAACGGTACAATTATAAATCGTCTTCTTTTCCTTATAATTTATTGAAACGTAAAAGATTTCGCGCTTCGCGCGTGAGGCCTACATGTATCACCAAAACCCCCTAATGAGCGCGCTTCGCGAACTCTTTAAGTGATTCGCTTGCTCACTACCGCCCCTACCTAAAATAAGATCTTAGCTCCTTGACGAAATAATTCATATATTTATGTCGTCGAGGAAAATGACCATTTGCGCACACACAAGTACTATAGATAGTCCATGGGAAAATACAATTTAGCCTTCGACCCCGGGTTTATAGGGTTAAATTTGCAGATATTGGGACATTTAATTTTGTCGGTAATTTGAGACATTTTTTGTCGGTAATCGTTGGCCTCTACACCCCCCCCCCCCCCCCCCTCACTGAAAAAGGTCTAGCGACGCCCCTGGTTAGAGATGAAAGAAGAATAACGCTCATTTATAAGATAATGCCACTGACTGCATATGTGTCTCTTTTTTCGTTCTCTCTCTCTCTCTTCCTTTCTCTTTCACTATCTTTCACTCTACCCCCCCCCTTCTCTCTTGTTCTCTTCGTATCTATCTTCTCGGATAACCTCCTCTCGCTTTCTCTCTCTCTCTCTCTTCCTTTCTCTTTCACTATCTTTCACTCTAACCCCTCTCCCTCGTCCTCTTCCTATCTATCTTCTCGGTCTCTATATATCTTACCCTCCTCTCGCTTTCTCCATCTCTCATTCTCTCCCTTCCTTTCTCTTTCACTATCTTTCACTCTAACCCCTCTCCCTCGTCCTCTTCCTATCTATCTTCTCGGTCTCTATATCTCTTACCCTCCTCTCGCTTTCTCTCTCTCTCTCTCTCTCTCTCGCTTTGTCTAACTCCCTGTCTCTCCCAGATTTTAAATCAGACAAAGAGGTCAGAGATTCAGAAGGTATATTTAAATCTTCCTTTTTATTCAATTTAGAATCATGATTGCTTATGACATGCACATCAATATAGGCCATTTCTGTTATGCAAAAAAAATTATGCATATGCCTTAAGCGTCTCGATATGAATTATTTCTTTCACCTGTTTATACAAATAAATGTATTTCAATAGTCAGGATTCAAATTGCTTACATTAGTTGTTGCTAAATAGGACACACATTATGGCTCGCACAGTTGTGCAAATATAACAAAATATTGAGTATCACATGACACCATTTCAGCTAAAAGGATAGCAAATACACTATCATCAGCACATTCTTTTGTCTCCTCTATAAATCATAGTATTGAAATCTATAAGGCACTGCAAACTTTATTTCAGTAATTCATGATCATCGATATACATAGAAAGACCTAGCTGTTTAGTACATCCTTTTGCAAGACACAATTGGGAATAAACTCACAAATCTGAGCGATTTGCATTGTCTATTATGAAAATCAGAGTGGATTGTAAAAATGACATCACTTAATCAGGAGAGGATGCATGGTGATCAAAAGGCAAGGTAACGGTATGCTCATAAGAGTATACCTACGTTTGTATCTTTAAAGTCACTCAAGGAAGCAAACTTACTCCAATATAAAACTTATTTACAATTAAGGCAAGTATGGCGAGCACAAACAAGTTAAAAATATACATGTATCATACCATAGCATAATCATAATCACAATGATGCGAAGAAAAGCCTAGAATATGTATTGTAAAATGATTGAAATCCAGTACTGAATACAATTAGAATAAACATGTATATTACAATTAAAGTAGCATATTTACATGTACACTGGAATGATGTAAAGAAAACCTGGAAAACATTTCCTTTACTGGATCTATTAGTACTGGTGAATGTAGTTAAACATGTACAAACAATAATCAATGTCAAATTAAATATACCACTGATATCTCAGGCATGTTAGATTTACAATAGAGACATGTATCTTATAATTATAGCAGCATATTTACATATATATATACACTGGAATGATGTAAAGAAAATCCTGGAAAATATTTCCTCAAATAGATTTATTTTATAGTACTGGTGAATGTAGTTAAACATGTACAATTATCCATGTCCAATTAAATATAACACTGATATCTCAGGCACGTTAGATCACAAAAAAGACATGTATCTTAAACTTATAGCAGCATATTTACATATATATATATACACTGAAATGATGTAAAGAAAATCCTGGAAAATACTTCCTCAAATAGATTTTAAAATCTAGAACTGGATGTAGCTCTAAATATACAAATAATAATCCACATCAGACAAAGTGTTACACCAATAACTCAGGCCTACACCCTTACCAGACAAAGTTAGTTCAAAACTAACCTATTGAATTATATGAAGTTTGTTGACATGATAACTAGAGCAATTCGACTCTTAACATCTGGGTCATTTCTGGTAACAAATTCACAAGTAGTAATTTAGATTCTACTTAATTGTATTTTTTTATTGACTCATGTGCAATGGCATTGACACAATAAGATAATTTGAAATATTACATACTTAGTTAGGAGTGGAAACTCTTGTAATTTATTCAAACACATGCGTGAGTTCTAAAGCGTGACAATGGGATGCGTAACATTTCACTTGGCTTCGAAGTTCCCTCTCCGAGCCGCTCTTCCACTGTGGGAATTTCGGAGGCCAGGCACCGGTTTCACATTTATTAAACTACCAGCAAAATTTCAGTGTAAATTATAAACTTTATATGGGGATTGTATTGGAAATAGTGCATCAAACAATTTTTTCAAATTTAGTACCCAGCCCTTCCTATAATTTGTGTGCCAGAGTTGGTAAAAGAAAAATTAGATCCTGACAAAAACTCGATATTTTAAGATAATCTGATTATTTTCGCATGTTTTAATGTCCCGTCATGTAATCCATAATTTACAATCTTCGATAACTTTAAGTTTGCTAATGCGGGCTTTCGCGTGCTTGTTGTATTTTTGCAGTTGGAAAAAAAATTACAAAAGTTTGTGTTCGCTTGTTCAACTTATTACACATTCAACAATTGATGAGAAATCATTGAAAGGGACAGCGAATATTTGCTGAGATACCATTTTCTGATGTAGGAATTCTAAATCCTGATTTTTCATGCGCTCTTTCAAATCACCACCTGGTCAACAGTTGCAGATTAGGGCATAACTATTTCGGTGGCTTAGAGCATGGGGTCAAAGGAGAGCGGCTTTATTCCATTTCAAGATTGCCGGGAGCAAACTCTAGCTTGATTTAGCGGTTTTCTTGGGGAGCAGCACGGCTTGGATGTTGGGCAGAACACCACCTTGAGCGATCGTCACCCCACCCTCCCGGCTTTAACTCATAACTCACTTTGTGACAGTTGAGCGGTATTTCATACACTGAATGCAAATTACCTTAAACAAAATGGTAAGAGTCTACAATATATACTTGGTACGTGCACTACATAAACTCAGTGTCTAATGCACTAACATTCCTGGAAAAGCATTAATTCACATTTGCCATCCTCCACCCAGGTATAAATGGGCACCCGATATGCCAAAGTGCTACATATTTGGCCGCCTAGGACCAGGGTAATAATGTTTGAGCACCAGGAGTGTCATGGCATGACGGGCGTTTGTACTATGTCTATGTCAGAAGCCACCATTATTATCATTATAACTACTAGTCCCTGGTGTTGTCACCGTCTATACACAGGCATAATGCATGATCATAACCGAGTAAAAAATGACCCCCTATTCAGATTTTTTCTTCAACAAAATTTCCACACAACAAGATCCTCTCTGCATAAAACAAGTACACAATGGGATCTCGATGCAACTCTGTTTTGGGCTTATTGAGTACCTACACATTAACGAAACATATCATGCTTTTGCATCACTTTCTACATACTCCTTTCACATGTTTTTGAACATTGTGACAATATTATGATCTCTTTCGTGTGAAGTGTATACACTAACACCAGATAGTGGGCTGCACTCATCAAGGTGAAAAAGAAGAAAACAGCCTTATTCAAACATTTACAAACTGCCGAAAATTACCCCCTTTTACCCCAAATTCTTGGAATCAGTCCAGGGCTTGAAACCAGCAGGTGAACGCCTAAATCTAGGTCTGGACTCCCAGTATTTTAAAGCTTTAACTCAGGCTCATGCATACAGAGCATAGAAAATTAAATCTAAACCTCTTTTCCTTCCAAAAATGTTAGTGTGGAGCCCTGTATCATGCATACAAAAGTAAAAATGATGTGTTACCAGTGGGTCATTGTCTCACTCTACCGATACCATAGCAACTAGACCTCATACTTTGATTGCTTCTCTGGAATTTCAGGATCATCCTGTGGAACTCTTGACTCAGTACAAGGAGGTTGCCTCTTGCAAGGCCTGCTCCGACTGCTGCTACCTTCTGAGTTGCCTGAGTTGGCCAAGACATACAGGTCATTTGAGCTGCCCAAGTCAGCTGAGTTGTCCGGGTCATTTGAGCTACCCAAGTCAGCTGAGTTGTCTGAGTCATTTGAGCTGCCTGAGTCATTTGAGCTGCCTAAGTCGGCTGAGCCATGCAAGAACCGGCCGGCCAAGCTGTAAATGAAAGATGAGAAATAAAATATCAACTATTATATCCTGCATCAAAAATTTGTTGACTTTTGATTGGTTGAGAGCTCGTCACATGACCAGAAATATTTGAGCTATTTTTTTAAAGTACTATATGAGAGTACTATTTGGGTTTACTATTTGGGAGTTGAAAAAAAAATGTGAATTTTTATTTTGAATTGAATCAATTTTTTTTTTCAAATCTTAATTTAATGAAAACAAAATATTTTAAATCTTTTTAGATAACATATTTTTTGTTCTAAATTTTTTTTCTTCCCAAATTTTTTTTTTTTAATAATTTTTTTAAAATAAATTTTGATGCAGGATATAAAACAAATATACCATGCCTTTTATTTGAGGTACTGGTTTTTTCTTCCCAAATTTTTTTTTTTTTTTAATTTTTTTTAAATAAATTTTTGATGCAGGATATAAAACAAATATACCATGCCTTTTATTCGAGGTACTGGTTAAACTATGGGCCTCGGTGACTCCTAAAGTACCAATTGCTTCGGGGCTGCACCCCTCAGCAAATAGTACTATTGGAGTCACCTCTTGCGCAGTTTTAACCAGAACCTCTCAAGGCAGTGTATATTTGTATACTATTGGTATTACTGAAAGTACCTGTCTCAAAAACCATTTTGATCAGTGAATGAAGTAGAAGAAAATAAATAGAAGAGAACACAGTGTAACAAAAATATCAAGAACACCAACAACAAAATATCACGATGAGAAAAAATAAGTACACACATTACAATTTCTTTTTTTTAAATCTACAAAATTAAGGTTGAAAGCACCATACAGTAGGGAATTTGTTCAATAAAGCTGTTACTGAATGCTTAGTTTTGTCAGACAAATTTTGTGAGGTACACAATATCACTTTACCGCATGTTCCCTGCTGGGGTTTATATCATCATTACATAATTTCTTAGTATTACATTATAGGATCTTTATATTGTTTCTGTATTGCACTACCCAAAAACAGGCTACATGCTGTTATCTGACATATAGGCCTACTGTACTAACCTTTGCAAACATGTGAGGGTGTTGAGAAATGAGTTTAAGTCATCTTGGGCAACTCCATTGAACCTGAAGTTTCCCTTCCTGATCTGAGGAAAACAACCCTGTTACATATAACAGCAACATTGCTTGTAAACTTTGTATCAGTTTCAAGGAGGTAAGTGGATCTATTTCATTCTGGCATATAATCTACTTTCTTGAGAATATACACCCAAGAGCTACAGTCAGGCGCTACGCAGGATTTTTTCAAGGGGGGGTTTTAACATTTATAAATCGAACTGAAAATTTTGCAACGACTCAGCCAGCCGCTGAATAAACGGGGGGGGGGGGGGGGGGGGGGGGGGGGGGGGGGGGGGGGGTAAGAGGACACTTTTTTTTTTTGGTCTCAACATTTGAAAATTTGACATTTGGCTACGTTGGGGGGGGGGGGGCAAGGTCACCTTTTTAGGTCAGCCATGGGAATAATTTTTTTTTTTTAATAATTTAAAAAAAAAAAATCCAAAGGGGGAGGGGTTTTAGGGGGTAATGGGGGGGGGGGGTTTACATACATAAAAATACCAAAGGGGGGGGGGGGGGGGGGTTAACCCCCCCCCCCCCCCCCCCCCCCCCCCCCATGTGTACGCTCCTAATATGTATGGAGAAATAAAAAAAGCTAGAATAAGAAAAATTATGCACAATAGAATTACAAATACTTATAAAATAAATGGATCCAATACATATTGCGACTTAATGACAACATGTAATATCAATAATAGTGGTAGTTTTACTGTAGTAGTACTGGTAGTAGTATCCACTATAAGCAGTAGCAATTGGAATATGGTAGCAACATCAAGTAAAAAGAAAACAATAACAAATTACCTGTTAGACAAATCGTTATACTTTCTCATACTATAAGGGGATCAGAGAACAACAGAGAAGAGGAGGGCATTATTACTTTTACCCAACCCTAAAAGGGTTGGGTTGGTGGAAGCTGCCTCCTTTTCTGTTAGCAATGTGTTTGAGAATAATTTATTTCCAAGATCTTTCTCGACTTAGTAGCCTATAGTCTAGAGCATCTTTGATATTAAATTTATAGAATTTAAACATTCATTACTGTGTAAAAGGGCAACCTACAGAAGGTGAAAACATGGTTGAAAATACCATCCTAAGACCTTAGTATGTCCCTACTATAATGTTCTTAAATAGCAGCCCGCAATTTAATGCATGCTCCCATGAATATCATGTTAAAAACAAGAGGTCGGCGGACCTTACGCTCACCTGAGCGGATGAAAGTAGGGGTCTCGCAAGAACGGAACTAGCTTCCATCCCCTTTAGAAACAGTACAAATTGTCTAATTATTACCATAGGGGCACTTTGAGGGATGCTGCCCTCAAGCCCCTTGGTGGCATATATCCCATTTGAACAACTTTAGATCTCCCTTTTCTGCAGGTGATTCCTACAAACTTTGGTTAGAATCCAGCCATGGGTTTTCGACAAGAAGAAGAGCATGTGCAATTACCAGTACTTCCACTGAGGAACTTTGGGGGCGCTGCATATATTTATTTACTAGTACTAATTTCTCATTGCATTCATATATTTATCCCCAACTGTAGAAGTTTACAATCAGTTTGAATTTGTCAATTTAAGCTGCGCAAAATTATATTAACGCGCATTTAATGAGACGCGCTAATTGCGCATTATTTTTGACTGAACATGATGTGATGTCACAATGCTTTTCTACCTGAAAATCTCATAGAGCATGCGCAGTTCTGCCCATGAAAAAATAGTGGAAAATATTCGGAGCTCTGGCAGAGATTTGTTTCAAATAGTGAAATTATATTTTATCACGTGACCAACAATTGCCCAATCATGTATTTAGAAAACTCATGAATATTCATAGAAGGGATATAAAAACATATATATATATATACATGTGCACCATTTAACTATTACTGTTGTCTTGTTGAACAATGTCTGACCCTCCATGACATTTACATTACGACACACATACCTGTATGGATGATGTCTTTGCTTTCAATGTAGAGTAGAATTCCTCATCGAAGATCCATCCCTGCATTGTCAGGTCAGTCAGGTTTGGCATACAGCACATTGCTTCTGCAAGGTGATGTGATTCTTGTGTGGGACACTGGATATAATGAAGCTTGAGAGTCTGGACCTGCATTGTTTGTCAATATAGTTAATAGTTTTACCTATACGTCCATATATTGAATTAAATATTTTCTCATTGTATTCTTACTTTTAACAAAAATTATATTATGAAGCTTTAGAGTCCGGACCTGCATTGTTTGTCAATATAGTTAAGAATTCTACCTATACATCCATATATTTAATTGAATATTTTCTTATTGTCTTCTTACTTTTAACAGAAATTCTATTTTTGATATAGACCCTAGTTATATTCATAATACACACCAGAACTAATTGAATAGATTTTATTTTCAAATTCAAATTTGTCTATTACTGAAAATTACACACAAAAGTTTCTATGGAGAGGATGACTAGTAAGAGAAATTGTTAAAATAATACTATCCTGGTACTGTATGTATAATTTATAGGGCTTCCAACCTGTTTGCATTAATAATTCCTACTACTATAATAACACTGAAATCAATAATACCCATAAATATACATTTGCTATTAATGTATTAAAAGATTCAGAACCCTGGGTTTCATGTGCACAAGTCCCCTAAGTCAGAAGGTTTGTTGCTATGGTCCAGTTTGGTAAATTCAAGCCTTTATCAAAATTGGCTCTTAAAATACTTTATGACATATTTTCTTCTATCAGTCAAACTTGGAAAAGGCTGGATATTGATTATTGATTTAAACTAGATGGACCTTCGACCGCGCGCAGTCGAAAATGATGCCTCCGCCATGGAGCAATTTTGCAAACCAAAACAGGAGCGAGCTTTTTTTGCATACATAATGAGCCATGTTACCTTTGACATTTGACCTCGTGACCCCAAAATCTAATCAGTTCATTGGCTTTGCCAGATAAATACATGACCCGAGTTTGGCTGGAATCCATCAATGGATTCTTGAGATAACGCGATCAGGAGCTATTTTGAATACATGAGCCCTGTGACCTTTGACCTTGGATCTCATGACCCTAAAATCTAATCAGTTCATTGGCTCTGCAAGATACATACATTACCAAAGTTTGGCAGGAATTCATCAATGGTTCTTGAGTAACGTGATCACGAGCTATTTCTGCATACATAATGAGCCCTGTGACCTTTGACATTTGACCGTGTGACACCAAAATCTAATCAGTTCATTGGCTCTGCAGGATAAATACATGACCCAATTTGGCGGGAATCCATCAATTGGTTCTTGAGATAACGCGATAATATGAGATAGCGGAGGCATAACAAATGTAAATCTTATACACACTTGAATTTCAACTGAATCAGCTTACATGTAGTTTGCTTTCATTTCATGTTTCATTTCTATTCCAATTTACCAAGTGAGTGGCCTTTAAAAAAGGTTGATTGGGAAAGAAAACATATATATCTGTGCACCATATGACTATTACTGCTGTTTCTGTCGATCAAATAACCCTCCATAAAATTCACATCAGGACACACATACCTGAATGGATGATGCCTTTGCTTTCAATGTAGAGCAGATCACCTTATCGAGTTTATTTCCAAGTGTCAGGTCAGTCAGGTTTGGCATAGAACACAGTGCTTTTACTAGATGTCGTAATGAGGCTGGTGTGGAAGACTGGACATCATAAATACGGAGAGTCTGGATCTGCATTGGTTGTGAAGATAGTTAAGCAGAACGTATATACATGCATACATTGTATTTACTAATTTCTGACTGTATTCTTACATTTCACACAAATTACATTACCGGTAGTTTAATAGTTGTATTCACAATAACTTTCTCAAGAAAACTGATTGAATAGATTTTGTTTTCAAATTCAATTCTTGTCTATTCAGAAAAAGAACAAAATAAAGTTTCCATGGAGAGAATGATTTAGTAAAAATTGATTTTTCTTAAATTTTATATGTATTCTTTATAGGGCTTCCAACCTGTTTGCATTGATAAGTCCTCATCCTACTAACACTGAAATTAATAATACCAGGAATACATTAAATATTAATGTTTTAAAGTTATTCATAACTCTTGATTTCATGTGCACAAGAATCCTAAGTCAGGAGGTTTGGTGCTATGGTGCAGTTTGGAAAATTCAAGCCTTAATTAAAAATTGGCTCTTTACAATCTTTATTACATATTTTTCATATCAATCAAACTTGGAAAAAAGTTGGATATTAATTATTGATCAAAACAATGTTAATCTTCAACACAACTAAAATACCTGCATGGATGATGCCTTTGCTTTCAATGTAGAGCAGAACTCCTTATTTGGATCTATTCCAACCAGTATCAGGTCAGTCAGGTTTGGCATGGAACACATTGCTTCTGCAAGGTGATGTGATGAGGCTGGTGTGGGACACTGGAGATTTTGAAGGGTGAGAGTCTGGACCTGTATTGTTTGTGAATAGAGTCAAGCAGTTTACCTATACACGTATATATTAAATTCAATATTTTATCTTGTCTTCTTACTTTTAACAGAAATTCTATTTTTTACATAGTTATATTCATAATAAAATACATGACAAAACTGATTGAATACGTTTTGTTTTCAAATTCAAATTTGCCTATTACAAATAAAGAACACACACACGTTTTGCTGGAGAGGATGATTAGTAAGAGTGATTTTTAAAATAATACTAAATGTGTTCTTTATAGGGCTTCCAAACGGTTTGCATTGAAAAGTTCTCATCCTAATTACACTGAAAATTAGTAATACCCAGAAATATGCATTTGCTATTATTGTATTAAAGGTATTCTTTACTCTTGATATCATGTGCACAAGCATCCTAAGTCAGGAGGTTTGCTGATATGGTTCAGTTTTGTCAATTCAAGCCTTTATCAAAATTTGCTCTTAAAATACTTAATGAAATATTTTTTCCTATCAGCCAAACTTTTAAAAGATTGGATATTAATTATTGATTAAGACAATATTAATCTCCTACACACTTAAAATTCAACTGAATCTCCACAAGCATAGTTTTGAATTCAATTGAATTCAATTTATTTGGCGTGAAAAGAAAATTCTGCTCTTTCTTTCTATCAATGAACTTCTCCATTAGGACACACATACCTGTAGGGATAATGCTTTTGCTTTCAAAGTAGAGTAGAACTTCCCCTTTGGCCTTATTCCATGCAGTGTCAGGTCAGTCAGGTTTGGCATAGAATTAAGTGCTTCTGCAAGGTGATGTGATGAGGCTTGTGTGGGACACTGGATATGATGAAGCTTGAGAGTCTGGACCTGCATTGTTTGTCAATATAGTCAATAGTTTTACCTGAAGATGTTTTTTTAATTGGATGAGAGATTTGTCATTTGAAATATTTTTTCTTCAGGAAACCCATAGTACAAGAGAATCTCAACAGATGTGGTCTAATGAATGGGGATATAAGATTTACTTTTGTCATGGAAAGTCTAACAGCGGGAAGTATGTATTTTGTTTAAACCAAGCTGTGGTATCACAGTTCATTCTGTGCATAGAGATGAAGACGGTCGCATTTTGGTATTAATTGTTTCCTATGAAAATATGAAGTTTACTATTGCGAATATATATGGTCCGAATAAAGATGGAAGTGAACTTTTTGAAGGTTTGCATGCAAATCAGTTTGGTGAAGAACCATATATTCTTGGAGGTGATATGACCACTGTCCAAGATCCTCACGTGGACTGCTGTCCCAACAACAATCAGTATCATCCTAATTGTTTCACACGTATAGAAACCTTGAAAGAGGATTTTGATTTAGTAGATATCTGGCCTTTTATGAATCAATGTAAACTTCAATACACTTGGCATTCAAATACTTTCCAAAGTAGAATAGATTATTTTCTGATTTCAAATACTTTCAAAAGAATTCTATTGTTCATACAGATATACATTATGGTTACATAAGTGACCATTCTGCAATTAGTTTATCAATTGAACAATCAGTCCCTAGAAGGTGCCAGGATTCTGGAAGCTAAATACTTCTTTATTATTGTCACTGCCTAATAGGAGTGAGATACACAAAAGTATACGCTCTGTTATTGAGGAAATATATATATGGAAGTGAATATATTATGGGAATATCTGAAGTTAAAAGAGAAAAATGTATTTCATTGTCCTCTTCACAAAAAAGAAAGGGAACTTGAAGTAAATGTTTTGTTGAAAGATATTGAGAAGCTCCAAGAAGTTTTGGTAGAAAATCAAGATGACGACATGTTGAAAGAAACTTTGATTTGTAAAGAGGCAGAGTTACAAAAGATACATGAAGAATATATTCGCGGAATAATGGTCCGTTCAAGAGCAACTTGGATATCATAGGGAGAAAAGAATTCACGTTATTTTCTAAACTTAGAAAAGAGGAATTTCGATGAGAAACATATACAACAGTTGGTAAAAGGTGATGTAATTATAACGGAGCCATCTGATATATTGACTGAAGAAAAACAATTTCATGAAAACTTGTATAGCGGTACTTCAAATAATATTGATTATGTTATCTCGAGAGCACATTAACAAATCTGAATATACCTTGTATCAATAATGATTTAGCTTTGCTTTGTGAAGGATCTGTAATACAAAAAGAATGTTACGATGCAATTATGCCAATGTCTTGTGATAAAACAACAGGCTCTGATGGCTTACCTGTTAATTTTTATAATATATTTTGGAAAAATATAAAAACATTGCTTTGTGAAGTTTTTAATATTCGCTATAAAAATGGAGAACTGTGTCCTTTAATGAAACAGGGGATAATAACTTTGTTACCCCCAAAAAATAAAGATATCCGCCATCTGAAGAACTGGCGTCCATGTCACTTTTAGATTATAAGATTTTAGCGAAGATTTTAGCAACCAGACTTCAAAAGGTTCTCCCTTTTATTATTCATGAGGACCATACTGGATTTCTTAAAGGTAGATATATTGGTGAAAATATTCGGTTGTTTATAGACTCCATTGATTTTGGTAAAAAATATTCAATAGGGGTATAGTTTGCTCGATTGATTTTGAGAAAGCTTTCGATTCGATAGAATGGAATTTTTAGATATATGTTTAACCAAATTTGGATTTGGAGGTATTTTCAAATCCATGTTTAAAATGACGTATAGCGATATTGAAAGTTGTGTCATAAACAATGGATACTCGTCATCAGTTTTTACTTTACAAAGGGGGGTTAGACAAGGATGTCCTCTGTCTCCCTACTTGTTTTTAATCGGAGCTGAAATTTTAGGTATCATGTTCAGACAGAGTACTCAGATAGAAGGTATTAAATTTAAAGGCAATGAAGTGAGGATAAGTCAATACGCAGATGATACCCTTATTTATCTTGCAGCCACGGAACTTAATCTCTTGAATGGCTTCAATATTTTATCGGTGTACTCAAATATTTCTGGTTTGAAAATCAATGTTAATATGAGTAAAATTGTGAGATTGGGAAAGTTTACAGGTATGTTATGTAATCATTTGACTGTCGAATGGGTTGATAATGTTATCAATTACTTAGGTATAAACATTCCATTTGATTTTTTATCAGATATCTATTCAATCAATTTTAAGGCTAAGATAAAAGAAGCTAAAACACTTTTAAAGGAATTGAATTGTTGAAACTTGACCCTACTTGGGAAAATTACAGTAATTAAATCACTAGGTATACCTAAATTTGTTTATTTATTTAGTAATTTGCCAGATCCACCAGATAGTTTTTTTTTGTTACATTGCAAAGGATGTGCTTTAATTTTTTATGGAGTGGAAAAACAGATAGGATCAAAAGATATATTATGTTTAATACATATGATGATGGGGGTTGCCAGTCAGTTTTACTCACTTTGCCTGAAAAGAAGTCGGAACATATTAAAGCCCCATATGTGCTGTACAATATAAAGCCTGAAATGGGAAGTTGTCAGGGCCTGAAAGTTGCATGGGTAAAGAGAGTTTTGGATAAACAAGGGTATTTGGAGAAGAAAAAAATTTCACTGCCAAATAAAACATTATGTGGAAGAAAATGTTTTTAGTTGCAACTTTCAGGCGGAAGATATACATTCCTTTACAATAAATCAATTCTGGTCGGATGTTTTAAAGGGGAAGTCCACCCTGAAATTAAGTTAGTTTTAATAGGAGTAGAAAAATGAGAGAAACAAGTCAGTGAAAGTTTGAGCAAATTCCGATTAAAAATAAGGAAGTTAGGATTTTTGAAGTTGTGATCAATCAAACACAAATTGGCAACTCTATGACGTATCATGCGAGCTCAACTTCCATTTGCTCAGTATTAAGAAAATCTAAAATTTTCATTTTCCCTCAAGAAAAATTTCAACCATACATGCACCCTAAATATAATAATTGAAAATATGTTTCTATACTCCCCCTGCAAGGAACAAATATATATTCCGTCATCAATAACAAAGAAAACATGATTTTATGGAATATTATGCACAAAGCAAATGAAGGAGAGCTCGTATGATAAGTCACAGAGTTGCCAATTTGTATTTGATTGATCACAACTTCAATAATTCATAACTTTCTTATTTTCATTCAGAATTTGCTCAAACTTTCACTCACCTAATTTTCTTATTATTCTGCCTCTATCGAAACAAACTTATTTTGGGGGTTGACTTTCCCTTTAACAGCATGGTCTTCTTATAAGTACTACAATCGTGTTATATTCAAGGATATTGTGTTACAACGTTTATGCAAAGAACACAGTAATTCTGTTAGGTCATGTGATGAGGCTGGTGAGCGACACTGGAGAAGTTCAAGCTTGAGAGTCCGGACCTGCATTATTTGTGAATATAGTTAAGCAGTTTATCTATACATGCATATATTTAATTAAATATTTTCTCATCTCCTTACTTTTAACAGAATTTATATTTATTACATTGTTATACTCATAATAACATTCACAACAAAATTGAATAGGTTTTATTTTCAAATTCAATTTTGTCTATTAACAAAAAGAACACACAAAAGTTTCTATTGAGTTTAAAAATAATACTATATGTATGCTTCATAGGGCTTCCAACCGATTCTGCTCTTTCTTTCTATCAATGAACTTCTCCATGAAATTTACATTAGGACACACATACCTGTATGGATGATGCTTTCGCTTTCAATGTAGAGAAGAACTCCTCATTTGGATTAATTTCAGACAGTGTCAGGTCAGTCAGGTTTGGCATGGAACACATTGCTTCTGCAAGGTGATGTGATGAGGCTGGTGAGCGACACTGGAGAGGTCCAAGCTCGAGAGTCCGGACCTGCATTATTTGTGAATATAGTTAAGCAGTTTATCTATACATGCATATATTTAATTAAATATTTTCTCATCTCCTTACTTTTAACAGAATTTCTATTTAGTACATTGTTATACTCATAATAACATTCACACCAAATTGAATAGGTTTTATTTTCAAATTCAAATTTGTCTATTAATAAAAAGAACACACAAAAGTTTCTATTGAGTTTAAAAATAATACTTTATGTATGCTTCATAGGGCTTCCAACCGGTTCGCATTGATAGTCCTCCTAATAACACTGAAATTGATAATACCCAGAAATATGCATTTGCTATTAATGCATTAAAGGTATTCAGAACTCTGGATTTCTGATATGGTTTAGTTTTGTTAATTCAAGCCTTTATCAAAATTAGCTGTTTAAATACTTAATGAAATATTTTTATGAAAATCATCATATAGGAGACATTTAAAGGAATTAAAGAAAAGTAAAATGTAGATTAGAAAGGGAAGATATCGTAATGGAATTAAATTTAATTAAACACTCACACATACATGTACATCACAATTGTGGATGAACTGCTCACCTTTGATTCTTTTCCTTTCCTTGCAAGTGTTCCAAAAAAACAATGATGGAATGCCTTTTCAAGATAAACAATCTTCAAGGATGGCAAAGAGCATATCATCTCTGCCACATCAAGTGACATAGTAGGTCCACAATCTCTCTCAATATGGAGTTTAACCTGGATAGAAAGACAAAGCGGCGATTACTGATGGGATAAAGAATATAGAGAGGAGGCGCATTTATACTGTTAAATACCTCATTTTAAAAAACCACAATGTTTCGCGCACCCGTTTACACATGTGCTGAAACATTACTGACTGAAATGCTCTGTGATATTTTGGCTTGTTTCAGTTGGCAATGCGCATGCGCGGCACTCCGATGCATAAACCTCCTTCGATCAGCTGCTTTATGCTGTGGCTGCTGTAGTCCAGTGAATTTTTATTTCTTTCGTTCTATCATCTTTTCCCTACCATTGTTATTCCTTGTTTTTCCATCTTTCACCTTCTCTTCTATCTTTCCATTATCTATTCTTTATCATTTTCCAGGTGGGCTGTATATAATATAGACCAACTTATATTTTTGTTAGAATTGCCTTTATTATCAGGTGGGCTGTATATCATACAGACCACCTTATAATTTCGTTAGAATTGCCTTTATTTATTTATTTATTTATTTTACTTATTTCTAACCACTGTTTTGTGGACAAGATAACTTGAAAATGGCTCGATCAAATGCCTTGAAATTTGGCACACATATGTATAGGCATATGTACAAAACACAATAACGTTTTCAACATTGACCTTCACTGATGACGTCATCTAGGCGCCATTTTGTAAATTTTTCGGAAAATCAACTCATGATCATATCTTCATAACCAAAATTTATTTCTCATTCATATTTATCATGTTTAAGGTCAATATCTGTCCATTCAATTTCAGGTCAAAAACTGCATTGCGCGTGCAAAATTTGAAAATGCTACAAACGTCTCAAAATAATTTTGCATACGTTTTAGGCCATTCTAAGCATTTTATAAATTATTCGCGCGTACAACTATTACACAATATAGAATCGCCATTTTTTTTATCTTCATAATATTCCACATATTTTTACAAACAAATTGATACCACGTTTGTCTCTTTATGACTATTAATAACGGAATGATCGACCGTTAAACATAAATTTCCGTGCGCGCGAGCTCTTGTAATACATAGCATAAATGGGCAAAAACATGCCTACCGGTATGCAAAATTCATTGTAGCTCTTTAGGATGCAAGGTGACCCCAATTTTTTGTTCATATTTTGATAGAGTATGAATCAGAGATATGATTTCATGTGTCATTTGACTCTCAATTAACTAATGACGTCTTCATAATGGCCTCCGAACTCATAATTTCAATTTGCATATTATGACGCCAGCATATTTTTGGAAAATTAATTTTATCTCTATAAAAAATGATTGATTTTCTTTCAAATTTTGATATGTTCTAGCTGAGACAATTCCCTACAAATGCAGTTACTACGATCCTAGAAGGCATGTAAATTTTTCACATTTTGCGTGTTTTCTCTATGGGACACAACTTTTTCTCAAAACTTGATTCTACATTTCCGTCTTTCGCGAGCAATATGTACGTCGTTTTAGCTTCGTTTACGCTGAACTTCGAGTATGTTGTAGCTGAGACAATAAACTATCTCAAATGTGCCCTTTATTTTGTCTCAAATTTTAGTAGGACCAGCCCACCTATACTTGTTCCAAACAAGTATTACAAATCTAGTTTATTTTTCTTATTTCGACCCACTTTTTTGTGACCAAGATAACTAAAAAATGGCTCAATCAAATGCAATGAAATTTAGCACACATATGTATAGGCATATGGACAAAGCGCAGCAAGGTTTTCAACCTTGACCTCGACTGATAATGTCATCTAGGCGCCATTTTGAGAAATTTTCTGAAAATTAACTCATGATCATATTTCCATAACGGAAAATCATTTCTCACTCAAATTTATCGTGATCAAGGTCATTAACATGGCGGGCAATTTTAGGTCAATAAAAGGGTGCGTACGCGTACGTCGGCACATCAATGCACGCGCAAAATTAAGCAATTTAACAAAAAATTCATGCACATGCGCCACGTTTTGGCACGTAGACCATTACACAACATAAAATCGCCATCTTTTTTCTTTCATGATATTTCCCATATTTTTTCAAACAATTTGATACCATATTTTTCTCTTTATGACCATTAATAACAAGATGAACGGCCATTTCTGCGAGCTCTTGTAATACATAGCATATGTGGGCAAAAACATGCCAATACAAAATCCATTAAAGCTCTTTGGGATGCACCGGGACCCCATTTTTTCTTCCATATTTGGATAGAATATGAGTCGGAAATATGATTTTATGTCTCATTTGGCCATTAAGTGTATCGTGACTTCATTTTATTGGCCTTCGAACTCAAAATAGGAATTTGCATATTATGACGTCATCATAGTACAAAATATCGATAAAAGGCCACATGTCAGAAACTTCTTAATTTGCGTGTTATGCCTATGGAAGGTGAATTTTGCTCACATCATGAATCTACATGACATTGTTTTTTTAAGCAGTATCTCGCTTATTTTTGCTATATTTTGTCTCAAAGTTTAGTTGGAACAGTCCAACTATACTTGTTCCAAACAAGTATTACATGTCTAGTTCTTTTTGTCTTTCCATATGTTATTCTTTGTTTCTTCCTTCTGTTACCTTCTTTTATGTAATTCTTTGTTTTTTCTATCACCTTCTCTTATGTTATTCTTTGTTTTTATCATTGTATAACTTTCTCTTTCCTTATGTTATTCTTTGTTTCTTCCTTCTATCACTTTCTCTTTCTGTCTTTTCTTATGTTATTCTTTGTTTCTTCCTTTTATCAAATTTCTCTTTCTGTCTTTCCTTATGTTATTCCTAATGTTATTCTTTGTTTCTTCCTTTTATCACCTTCTCTTATGTTATTCTTTGTTTGTTATCATTATATCACTTTCTCTCTCTGTCTTTCCTTATGTTATTCTTTGTTTCTTCCTTCTATCACCTTCTCTTTGTATTAAGCGCTATATAAAAATTAAATATTATTATTATTATTCTTTGTATTTATCGCGATGTTACAACTGCAAGCGTTTATACTTGACAAACATGCCAAAACACGCCAAAATATCACACTTCGATTTGGAATGTTTCGGGCTTGGCATTTTTGCCAGTAAAGCGTAGTTGCCTTGGTAACATCAATGAAACATCGCGGTCAGGCTCCGGTTTGGCTTTTTTTTGGCGTGTTTGGATGACAGCTACATGTAAATGAGAGGTTTCCCTAGATGTATTGCTAGAACTAAAGAGAATAAGAGGGAAAAGAGGAGATTATGACATTACAGGCTGAAGAACTATTGCTACAACATTTCATACCAAACAGTAGAAATAACCATCAGAGTTTACAAATTACTCAACAGAGAATCCTTGAAAAAATATAAAAAGGAGTATAGGTCTAGGAACAGGCTGCAAAAGAGATTACTTCCATTTGTTTTTCTTGCATTTTCACACCATCTGGTGACTCATACCTTAAAGGGGGTGTAGCATGGCAAATACTGGTTAACACTATCTATGACTTCTTTTGGACAACCGCACATATGTTCATGTGAACATAAATGATTAAACATGGTCACTGAATATGGTCACTAAATTACACGGGTGGATAAGGAGCAAAAAGTTAGGCTTGCAAGAAGAAAAGAAGTAAAATGTTGATACCCCCTGAACAAATTTAATCATATACTCAGTCTCACCAAGGGAGAGTAAAATGAACTGATCTACAATATAAAATCCTAACAGAAAAAAGATGTTTGCGACCGACTCAAAAATCTTGAAATCTACAGTCTGCTAAAGCATTCAAAACTGAGAAATATCAGCCCAAAAAGGAAGTAAAACAAAAGTAAAAAAGTATTTTAAAAAACAAGATTTCCGACCAACCGACCCATGTTTTGGCACCTAAAGGGCAATACAATTAACATATTTTGTTTAGGCCTAATCATAGTCCTCCAATCAATTTCAAGTTATAGAGCTACTTTGCCTATCACATATGTTAAGATGTGCAATTGCCCTAGTTGCAACTGGTATCAAATTCAAACTGTGCTGCAATGATTCATATAAACAGCACCAATTTTAGACAAGGCCAAGGATATCAGATAGATTCCTTTGTACATTGTTAAACATTTATAAACCATAAATTTGGATTTCAATTAGCGGCAAGAGATAGTTTTGTGAAGGGAATAAAATGTGCAAACTATTGGTGAAGTCTCCTTTCCCCAATTCTATCTCATACAAGGTACATGTAGATGCACTGTGCATATTGTACATGCACGTGCCAGTACATAGGTTGTATTGACGTCCTCGCCAATGCCTTGTACATTTGCGCATTCTGAATTCATTTTCTTATTCTTCTTGTTCCCGAATCACATTTGTTTTGCATGCAGTGCTTGTTATTCCTAATTAGATCCCTTTCAAATTTTGTATCCATATTCTTTACCATCCCAATGTGTGCACTGAACTCTCCACTTTCAGAAATCTCTACTGCTTGAACGTCCTCGCGCCATGTTCAGAGCTGCCAACCTCCAGAACAGAAAATCAGTACCGTAATCAAAAGGCTCAGAATCAGTATTTTGGGGAATAAATCAGTAATTTCCTAAGCGGAGCTATAAATCTAAAAAAAATAATGGCATGCCAACACTGCCCAGACGAATGCGCCCCAGCCCCCCCCCCCTCCCCCCATTCAGTGTTATTTAGGGTACGCATATATGTGTGTTACCACCCCCCCCCCCCCTTTCAGCATAAGTACGGTGTGTAAAGTCAATATGGGTAGATATTTTTCTTTGTTACGAGCCGGAAATTTTGGGAACACGCATGCGGTCCCTCGGGGGACAGGGCATGCACAAGTGATTGTTTGAAATTTTGGTGATTATACTCACACAGAGTTGTTAAATATTGATTATCAGGTCATGACAACACATCAGTTTTCCATGAAAGATTGGCTTCTACTAAAGGTATTACAAAGTTTTGGTATGGGGTCATGAATTTGGTTCAAATTAACATATTGGAAGCATATGCGTTCCTACAATATTCATTGATCGTTGTCCTGGTTGAAATCGAGTCTAAAGTTATGAAATTATAAACAATAAACTCTTTTATGTTGTATAGCTCCCTCCCAAGGTCAAGATATCAATTTAGCTATGAAACAATGTTTCTTGACTAAAATCGACCAATTAGCTATTCCCGTTTGGAAATTATATATCACGACTACATATTCTGAGATTTTCATGGTCGCAGCTACCATTGTACGACCGTAGGCGTTATTTGAAATTTATCAAAATTTACCGAAAGCAGGTCACTATTCAAATTATGAAGGGTTTCTGCCCAACTGTAAACAAGATTGTTATGCAATTGACAGACTGATTTTTATTTATCTTGAAATTTTGCAAGTATATTCTGGGTGACCAAACTTAGGGCATCTCATAGCTGAATTTTGAAAATCTTTCAAGCAGAATGTTTTAGATTCCATTTTGTATCCTGCGTTACAATGTATCACACTATATGCGTCACGCAGGAGCAGATCAGCCGGAGGCCCACTTTGTGAGAAAGTATTTAGTGGCGAATTAGCCGGCGAATAAGCTGGGGGTGGGGGAGGGGAGTATTGAGCACTAATTGTTTGGTTTTACTCAACACCACCCCCCCCCCTCCCTCCCTTTGAGCAAAAAAAAGAAGTAAAATAGTGGTTACCATCTTTTTTTTTTTTTTACAGGGGTGGGGGTCCCTGTCTCCTTTTTTTTTCTCAAAAAAAGGTGTTCTTACTTTTGAGCTTTTAGGGGCCAGGGTTAGGGGCCCATGCCCCTCCCCCCTAAATCCACCACTGGCATCATGTATTAGTATGCTGGCATGCAAGGCCATATAGACCAAAGTATATATATGGAAAACCATTAGTGCGTAATGACGTGTGTCTTGTTGCGTGTCACGTATATAGGATCATCTAATTGCTTTATTTATCTGCTCAAATAACTAGAAATAAGGGCATCAATGCATGCATATCGTTTTACGGTAGCAGTTCTAGTTTCCAAAATATTACTGTTCAGGTCTCTTTGATGCACCTTTCCATAGCTATCCTGTTAGAAAATTGCAAACAAAAGAAAAGTAAGAACTTGTACAAAAATTGAGGAACTAATTTTGTTTATCAAACTATGATCAAACTTACCACATGTAGTCCAATGTCTGCATAACCTGCTACAGTGTGTGCTGTCACATTATAGTCCACAGTCAGCACGATCTTCTTTGATGAAACCCTGTCCTTCACCAAGGCTGCTACATCTGCGTCCTGACTCTCAAAGGCTACATCAACAATGAAAGATAAATCACCACCCCATTTTAAGAAATCCATGCTTAGTCCCTGGAGCATAGAGTTCATTACATGGATTGCAATACTTTTGTTGTGTGACACAGTGAAGTACAGGAGATACCTAAACTCCTTGTTCCTTGGCAGCACTACTTCCCCAATCAGCCTGTTAAATTCATTACGATCTGATTCATACAGGGAAGCAAGATGGACTCCAGCCATGTACTCCTGAAACAGTTTGTGAGGGAAGAAGACTGGCAATTGCACATGAGAATTCATCTCATGTGTATCCATGTCAGCATAAATTCTGTTCTCCTGAGACAAAATCCCGACAAGGCAGGCAGTGTCCTTGGATTCTATTTCTTCGCACGTTTGGAAATCATCTTCACCGAAAGACAAGGTATTTTCTAGCAGACCATTGAAGGCTTGTTTGGCAATCGGTCCAAGGAGCTCATCAATTTTTTTCAAATAGTCAGTAAGTGAGCGGCTGCCTACTTTCTTCACCTCTTTCTGAGCATAATGTTCTTTTAGAAAGGCAATCATTTCTTTGAATATCTGAGAAAAAGTTTTCAGTGATTTCATTTTCTTTATTTTTTGCTCGTCACGTTTTTTCCACATAAGACACAACATGGCTACATATATAGGATAGGGGGCCATGTTTTCAGATATGACATCATTATCACTGAAGAATTGGATAAGCTGATTTGCTTTATCATCATTCTTTGGAAAGTATTTGTGAATGTAAACTGACAAATTCTCTTTGTTGAAACCCTCAACATGAATGAATGTGTAGAGCTTCATTAGATCACCATCCGATCTAATCTTCACTGCTCTCCATGGGCGAGTAGTCACCAAGACTGGGCAAGAGACAATTCGATCTGAACAAAGAATATCTACAAGTCCAATATCACCAGTCTCAGATGAGCTTCCGCATGCCTCTGAGGAGGTGACACTTGGTTGTGATTCGCAAGATTTTGTCTTCATGATTAGACCACTGGCTTCATCTAGCCCATCGAATGCGATGAATACCTTGTCAGGATTTGACTGGATATACTCAGTCATCTGAGAAACCGTTGCTGGATTGTTTTTGGCCAGATAAGACTTTGCAATCTCGCCAATAGTGTGTTTCTTAAATTCACGGAGAGGAACAATCAAGACCCACACAAATTGTTTGAAATACTCTCCTTCAATCCAGTCCCAGGCAATCTTAGCACAAAATGTTGTTTTTCCAGCCCCCGCCTCTCCCTGAACCATGATCCGCTTGGGGAACTCTCCATTGACTTTGAGATTAAGGATATCATTGTAATCTAGCATTTGCTTCTCTGTCCCATGCTCTTTTTGTAAGAAGAGATTAGTATACATGTCTTTAAACTGCACAATGGAAGCTGGATTGAGAGGATCAGCTCTGATCTTACAGACAGTTGACCTGTACTTGGACTTAATTTCATCTGCACACCGCTCAACCAGTTCAGGAGAAAGTGGTTTGGTCTGAGATTCAGCTGAAGGAGGTTTGGTCTGTGATTCTGTCAGTCTTGATGGCCCTCCTAAAAATACAAAGATAATCCATATTCACATGATTACACTTTAAGGATTGTAAAGGCCTGAGACAGTCCTACATGTTTGTCTGAATTCATATGACTTCATTCAATTTTAAGGGCATTTAAAATCTGAGTAATTTTTGTATACAGGTGTTTGTACTTGTAGATGAATATCAATGAAATAATTTTCCTTGGACATTTCAGCAATGCAGAGTTTCCCTTACATTTACACATCTTATTTTGAAGAAAAAACAAGACAAATATGACTGCATCTCTAGTATGTCTCTGCCTAAATTCAATTAAGATCAGGGCATGGATCAATCTTTAAATATCACAATGAGAATTAAAAGACTATATACAGTATGTATGCATATAAATACATGTTGAGTGATCTTTACAACCTTTGATCTGACAATCCAACATCTGATGAATTGTCTCCTAATGGTGAAGCTACATGTATGTTATATATTACATTATGTGTTATTAATTTTGTTTGTAAACTTTTGTAATTCGGCTTAAAGAGAAGGTTGAGTTCTGGGAAGAGGTGAAAAATAATTTTGGAGCATTACTCATTCTTATTTTACAAGTGTGGAAGAACATCAGTTAAGACATGTTCCCTGAAAAGCATGGCTCTTCAAAAGCCTTCATATTCTAAATATGCATGTAACATCGTAAAAATCGGGGGGCCGGCTTTTTACGCCACGTGTTCGTGTAGTCCCATATACATCTTTCTGTGCAAGTGTTTGTAACTTTACCAAGACTTGGCCACATTTCTTATGATTTTGATGATTCCAGAACCTTGCAATACACACAAATTCTAATATGCTAGATGATCAACCTTTTCTGGTCGGTTCCACACCGTTTCTTTCACAATGCAATCGCATGACCAGAACTCAACTTCATCTTTAACGCCGCGATGAAAGTCTTATTTGAAATAAACCATGTTGAATTGAAATGAATTTAATTGAATACCATATGTATTTTTAAAATACAAATTTCAGCTAAAATACATGTAGCTCAAAGTAGTTATTGTTATGGTGATAAATGTTTCATTTTGACCTTCTTACCTTGAGATATAATCAGTTTGTCTCTAAATGGGGATTCATACCAACATCAAATTCGAAATTCATGGCTCAAATGGGGCTAAAACCCTAAAACTAATTTGATTTGACCCTCATGGCCCTTGGCCTTTGACCAACTTATCCCAAAATCAAATCACTTCATGTCACTTTGGTGATGCATGCTAACACCAAGTTTGAAGTTCATAGCTCAAGTGGTTCTTGACATATCATGAGGCTAAAACCTGTAATTTCAACGATTTACCTCTATAACCCACTTACACCCAAATCTAATCAAGATTATCTTTCTTTGGTGATACATACTACATTTTGTATCAACAAGTTTTAAGTTCATACCTCAATTAAGTGGTTCTTGAGATATCGCAATAGCAAAATAGCAGGACATACGACCCTAAAACATATTTTCTCCTGCACCACCTTCCTTAGGGGGATGCATAATTACAGTTATAATGAAATGACGCAAAAAGAATATAATTTGTTTGTAGAACATGTGCACATAAAAAAAGCTGAAATGTAAATTTTGCTGTCACTTAAAGTACTTGTACTATATTGGTGTCAAGAAAATATTTAGGATTAACAAAGTTAAATTAGTAAATTATAAAAACATACATGGGGCCAGATAAAATTTGACACTTCTGTAAATTGTGGAAAATGTATAGAACACAGAGCACTCGCTTTCTATATGGTAAAAATTGACTTCACTTTTATGCATGGTTTTCAATATCTTCTGTTGTAGGAAGATTTAGTATCTGTTTACCTGTGATGTTTGGAATAAGAGATTCATTGAGTAATCTGTCTGATAGGCCTCCCAGGTCAATCTCTCGAAGTGCATCTGCCAAAAGCTGCCGTTCATTTGAGTGTGGAGGTCGCTGCATGACTTTCCATTTCATGAATAGGCACAAAAGTGCATTGGTATGGTTTTTCGACTTCTGAAGCAGGATGTTCTCTACCTCAGGATAGGAGAAACCTAGAGATATCCCTACAGCCTCGTAGTCTGATGGAAGAATATCCTTGGCCAGCCTCAGGAATTCCTTGTCACTGACAGTACTGTAAAATGAATGTGTAAATATTATGCATGCGAGGTTCCATGGCTGAAATGCCTGAATTCAAACTAGATTGATGCATACTGCTCCACAGTATTTGTCTATTATGCTTATCATTTTGACAACTCCAAAACCTCACTTAAATGTATTACAAAGTTTTGGTATGGGGTCATGAATTTGTTTCAAATTAACATATTGGAAGCATATGCGTTCCTACAATATTCATTGATCGTTGTCGCGGTTGAAATCGAGTCTAAAGTTATGAAATTATAAATAATAAACTCTTTATGTTGTATAGCTCCCTCTCAAGGTCAAATATTAATTAAGCTATGAAACAATGTTTCTTGACTAAAATCGACCGATTAGCTATTCCCGTTTGGAAATTATTTATCACAACTACATATTCTGAGATTTTCATGGTCGCAGCTACCATTGCACGGCCATAGGCGATATTTAAAATTCATCAAAATTTACCGGGAGCACCGGTAAATTTTTATATTCAATTTTTCTCGAAAACAGAAGTATTTTAGGGGCTAATTTTTTTAGTGCTTATAATACATCCACACGGGCATCCAAATATATCAAAATTGTAAAGATTCACTATCCACCCAATTTTCAAAATTTCCCAAAACTTTGTATTACCTTTAAAGACACTCAGTAGTTAGCTCTCATAGGGAATTCAACACCGTTTGGGTGTTTACCCAATAACAGGTGTTGTCAATCACCAGGGTTAGCCTTAATTGAGTTTTATGACCATTCGACCTTATGTAATGCTTTGCTTTTCCCTCACCTGATCCGAAGCGGGATCCGAAGCTAGACTCTCAGAGAGATAAGGAGGTAATTCTCGACTGGCCAACGGGTTCGCTGTGCGCAGATTTGTACTCCCATTAATGGTTTTCCCGCCAAGTCTGGTGTCAGCGAATTATGGCCTTCTGCACATGGAAACTGATGCGTGACTCCCTTTAAGTGCTACATGATCAACCTTTCAAATCGCTTTCACATTGTTGTTTTTTGCGATGCAATCGTGTAACTAGATCCCTGTTTCCTAAAGCTTGTTATCAATCACAAATGCTAAATTTCTATGAAAAATTGCTCTCAACCAATCAAATGCCACAATTTCAGTGGCTTATAACTGCTAGTTATTGTAACTTGTTATTGATAACAAGGTTTATGAAACGGGGCCCAGCTAGACTCAACTTCATTGTTAACTCCTGAAGGTGCTACTGGTGCATATGCATACCTTACTGCAGTGTTAGGACCTGGATTGGTTTCAACGTCACCAGATCTCATCAAGAGGATCAAAAGCAGATAGAGAAGGCAGAATCCATCCATGATGTAAGATGTCCTTCTCACTCGACAGAAAAGTAGTCCTCTGGAAAATGGTGATATGACACGAGTGACAATACCTGAAAACAATATTCAGGAATATCTGTATTATGAAAGGAATAAAGGAATAAAGATCCTTGGAGAGTTTCAATTTCACTAAATATGTAACAGTTTAAATGTAATGTATCCCTTTTGCAGCCAACATCAAATTCTGTAGAACTTTGAAGGAATTATGAATATGTCACATATGTCCTAGTATTCAAATTATGCAAGGAAACCCGTTTACTTTCTAGACTTCACTGTCAGACACTATTGAGTGACTGACTTACTTCTTTTTTTTCTTTGGTAATACTATATAACATGAGCTGTAAAGGGTACATGTACATGAGAATTTGTCTACATCAATAACCCACTTCTTGTAATGGCCAAAATTAAAATTATTGAATCTTTGCGTAGTACAAAACGTATGTAATTCGATTCGACAACTAACAGTCATTATTTTCCCACAAAAAGACATTTCAAGCCCTTTTGTTTTGAGGGAAGTTCTAAATTAGTATTAAATTTCAAACGCCGTTGGAATTTAACCTTTTCATTTTTGGGGCCTTCAAATGGGACATACATGTAGTCTAGTACCTTTAAGGTTTTGGGGGCTTTCAACGCCATGAAGTTCTTTGACCCTGCCTCCTGAACCCCGCCCTTGGGGGGGGGAGGGCTGGAACTAGCCAAGAAGCTGTGCTTCGCAGGGTTCATATATTAAAGAAATGCTGTATTTGGGCAGAAAAGGATTATTTTGTGATTCTTTGTATGTAGTCTGCAATCTTTCACAGCGCGAAATGAGCGTAAACATAGACTGCACTGTATGCAGAGAGCCCAGGAGGTCACGCATAAGATAAACGTAGCAGTCTGGATGAAGGAAAGTGATCCCAATTTTTGGGGTATCCTCTCTGGCAAGGTTGAATTTGAAAGTGATATAGCCTCTACTAGGAAGTTTACTACAAAAAAAATCCTATTGTAATACCTTTGTGACTGCATTCCTCATATCAATAGCTGTATTTTGTTTTAATTAATATATTTCTAACGACCTGATGATAAAGATTAAGGTCATTGAGCAGAGTTAATTATTTTCCAAGAAGTGCAGCAAAAGACCCACAGGAGGCGAGTATCTTTGACAAGCCATAACTTAATAAAGCAATATCCATTTCCAATCATCTGTCATGCACCACTGGATTTCTCTTATAAAGAGCTTTACACTGATGTATAGTTTAACCATATTTGAAGACTTGTTGTTTATACAGTGCATATAAAATAAATTGTACCCAACTTTGGTATCTGCTAATTAGAAATTCATAACCAATATGACTTTGACATTTATTTCATGATGAGGAGTAATTGTTACTATATACAAATATTTGGGCACAAACATTGAAAAGGAACAGGTCTGGAATGCAGGGCATACAAAAGCCCTAATTGCAATAAAAGAGAGTCAGCGAATGCACTTTCTGTGAAAGCTGCGTTCATACCATGTTGATAGGACCATACCGTCAATTGTTTATTGGTCCGTATAGTTGAAAGTATAATGACATATAATTCTGTAGTGTGATATAGTGGCAGAAAGAAAGAGCAAGGAAAACTCAAAACCATTGTCAAACAAGCAGCTAATATAATAGATAGACCAATGGATTTTGACGAGGTTTGTAGAAACAGAGCAGTGTGTACCCCTCCGAAGGGGAGGGGGGGGGGGTGATTGTCTAAGGGTGTGATGCTCAGGAGGTTAACTGTCCTCAGGGGGTAATTGTCCACCGGTAATTCCCCAGGGGCAAATTGTCCTCGGGGGGGGGGGGGGGGGGTTTCCAGGGGGGTAATCTTACGGGGGTGATTGTCAGGGGATAATTCACAAATTGTCCTAGAAGTAAAACCTGTTAAAATATGTGTTAAAGTAAATGGTCTAGTCATAGGTGGTATCCACTCCAGCAAAGCATAGAGAGTCCATGCTGAAATGATGACTGTAAGTGTATTACGGTAACCGAATAAAAGAACAACTACAACGTATACTCAGACGTTCTGTATCCGGATGTTGTATCCAGACATGCAGTTGATTTAAAAAGGTCGGTAATATAAAGTTTACAATTACGCGCAAAATTTCATCTAGATCTAGATATTTTAAGAATTACGTTATAAAATAGATCTAGATCTATATTAAATAGAAATAATGATGAGGGTTGGTATTTTTTTAGGCGCTTGTTCAGAACCTATCCAAAAGTTGGCCCGTAACTCGGGCGTGGAGATACCCTACTAAAACATACCCAAAATGAAGTAAATATTCATTAAATGTCCAAATAAAGATCATGAGTTAAAGTCATTGGCCCGAATTCACAAAGCAAGGTTTGAGCTCAGACCAAGGTTTACGTACGTCATATGACGCGTTTTAGACCTTGGTTTAGACCTTGGTCTGAAATGCATTTCACAAAGCCGGTTTGTCCTCAGACCAAGGTTTATGTACGTCATATGACGCGTTTCAGGTTTGAGTTCAGACCTTGGTCTGAAATTACATTTCACAAAGCAAGGTTTGTCCTCAGACCAGGTTTATGTACGTCATCAGACCCGAAATTTACAGACTGCTCAGATAGGAGGTTTGTATTTCTCAAACCTGGTTTGAGAGCTATCAACCAATCAGGATGCAGCACTGGGTGGAGATAATTTATGCTCGATTGATTTTATCCAAATAATTCACCGCCTAAACAATCTGCGATAGTATCTGGTCAGCCCGATTTTAGTGCAATTGAAATCTCTCAATCTCTCGATCCTTTCCTTAAAATCGTAAGTATAAAACCTGTACATGTAGTCGAATCCATACTCTTCACGTTACTGACATTTCAATATGTGATATGCTTTATAACTTTCCATTTTCCATGAAATGTTCGGTGTTTACATATCCGACAGCCTCTCAATTCCAGAGTTCAGGGACTGAGTCCGAGGGAGCTCGAGTCCAACGCCCAAGGCGGCGGGGGAGCTCGCACCCTCTGACCCTGGGCTGGAGTTGGGCCTAGCCGGGCCTACAGTAGGCTATATCTGAGTATGTCAGTATGACTGTCATGTTTAATTTCGTCTTGTTGTCAGCAATGCCATGACACATGCCTATTAGAATAGGCCTAGACCTACACTAGTTATTACAAATTCATGATAATGATAATAATACCAGGCTCTAGCCTAGTATAGGCCTGGCAATGATGTCCATCACTTGACTTGTTTCACTGACACTGGTACCTAAATAAATAGAAATTAAAATGGCATCAGCAATGCCAATGTTCCCCAAAATGAATCACACTGACAGGCATGGACCAAAAGCTTCAGTCTCTCTATATCGCCGGTTGTTCACTGAGACTACGCCTGGCTCCACTAGACCTCCGATTATAGAATGTCAACAAATGTCAGTTTTAATTATTTTTATTAAAGAAATGACCCATATCACTCAGACGGTTATTTCTGTCTATGACTAGATCTAGTATGAGTCGTGACAAGCAAAGCTTAGTTTTATTAAATTTAGATCTGGTTCTGATTGTCTTAATTAACTGGCTTAGTCTCCAGAGCAAGGATCACCCACAAAGTCACAAGCACAAGTAATAACATTTCTTTAATTTAAAAACATTGTTTAAACATTTGTTTAATTTTATCTTCACTCTAGTAAAGATGGTAGAAATGCAGCTGATTCAGCATAATGAGCTGGTGTACCTGGAGGAGGAGCTGGAGCAATATATAGCAGCACAACCGGGCAGAGGCCTCTGAGTCTGAGATTGGGAAAACCCGCTGGATGATGAGCCTTTTGTTTTAGATTGAGGTAGGCTACTTTGAATTCAAATTCTGTATTGGGAAAGTTGCTGAAAACATGGCCAAACTACTTGATGAATATTGTTAACATAGCTATACAAAAAAGGGCTTCTGTTGTAAAATCCAACCCTAGACTAGTGTCGTTATTAAAATGCAGAAATATTTCAATTCATGTTGACCGCCTAAATTCACTGTTCGTTTGCCCCGCTTCGCTGGTCTGCCTACGACCGTGCAAGCCCCCAATGCAATACACATGTGCATTTACATAAATTTATTCAATTTCTAAGCATTTTCTGTCATATTCGATACATTGATAGATTAGTTATGATATTTATTCTTTTACATGGTACTGTAGGTGATGGGAGCATTAATGTTCATAATTTGTGTGTGGGGCATTTCCCAATACTGTTATTTGGCTTTAATACATGAGGAAATTATTCAGATTATGTGTTGGAAACAGGTTTGTGATTTCTTGTTTTGTGTAAAACTACTTAACTACTTAAACTTATTTTTCAAAAGGTGAAGCCGTGAAGGAGATTAGAAAAGGCATAGACAATTTTGTCTTTTACGTTAAATTGATTCACACCACATCTAGAAATCAGGATTTTTTTTTTGTTTTAAAGTGACAGTGACAGTTGGGGATGTAAAAATATAATAGCATAAACCAGCAAAAAATGATTTATTTGAATGCTTGTTTTTTTAATTTTTTTAAAAAGGTAATTCGATCTAAAGGATGCACCGTAAGGAGGTGGCATGCCGTGTCATATTCATCTGTTTGCCGAATGGAGAGTAGTGAGGGATGTTTCTGAAGCTGTTGTCAGAAGAAAGGGACAAGTCATGAAGTTTCCTACAAGTTACAAGGCAAATAGTGACTACTATTCAGAAGCAGTTTTTCCAGTACTGCAGATTTCCAGGAGTTGCTGTTGATGGGACACATGTTTACATCAGGAGCCCTGGTGGGGCAAGAGCCAGGTACTACTTCAATAGGAAGAACAGGTACTCCATCGATGTTCAGGTGAGAATATCCAGCACGGCTTTCCCTTTAGACCTTTTTTTTGTACCTTGCAAAATTTTCACATTAGATATATACACTCTCCAGTCTTGTGTGTTGTACATCCATGCTAATTCATTGGTGACCAATGCAAGATTTCTAGTGGCCAAATGGATATTAAAGTAATATTCGCGTACAGGTACTCATTTCACTGCCTTTGTACACAGTTAAGAATATCCAATGGATAGTTAAACTTAAAAATCCTAACACTCGTTAATATCTTTTTAACGAAAGGGAAATTTGAAAAATCAAAACTTGTTCCATCCTTCTATTGGCAATACGGATATGACCTCTAGATTTCTGATATTTTGTTGATGGCCATGGCAATTGGGCCACTGTTTTTGCCATAGATCAATGAAAGAAAAAACAACAAAGAGAAGCATGTAAATTGATCAATGGCAATTACCACTATATATTTTAAACTATAGAAAAACAAACAGGTTCATTTCCAATAAAAAGATGCGAGAGTGGGTACCCCCTCCCCCCCCCCCCCACACACACACAAAGCATTTGTTGTTTTAGGCTCGAAATGTTTTGTTAAAAGTGAGATTATTTTTGTTTACATTGTTACAAGATAAACAATGAAAACATGAGTTAAAAATGAAGAAATACTTCATCAGTCAATAAATATAGGGTAATTAGAATTTTCTTCCAATTTTTGTTGTATGAATAGATATTGAAAAGCAATTATCACATATTCAACTGCATTTGCATTAATTACCATAAATAACAAGTGAAATTTATACATTTCGCGGCCTATCTGAAGTGTGAAATGAGTGAGTTTTCATAACTAATGAATGCCAACATGTTATTTCATATTGACAGGTTGTCTGTGATTATGCTGGGAAAATAACTAGTATCGTTGCAAGGTGGCCTGGACTGGTAGCAGCCACGATGCCAGGATCTTTTCTGAGTGTACACTGAATTGACAGCTTGATGCTAGGGCATATGAATAACAGTTGATTCTTGGAGATAGACTATAGGGTAGGTACTGTAGATTATTTCTTTATATGAAAACATTTGTTTATTCTTTTTCTTAATCAATCTTGTTTCCTTTTTTGTATTTGGCCAACATGTGACATGTTAGGAATGTTCATTTGTTAATATAGTAACAACTCGCATTAAGTAATTAATTCAAACGAGCTCATGTGCTTTTAAATTTCAGTTCACAAATCACAATTAATGTTTTTGATATCTGGATGCAACTTGATTAGTTTGTTGTCAAGTGGAACCTCATAGTTTTTGTATTAGTGACACAGGATTGAATAATTCCTGATTATGTGTACAATACATTGTATCCTTTCTATAGTATTACCCCCCCCCCCCACCCCCCTCCAAGAAAAAAAATGAACAAGTCGAAATTAAAAATATTGTTTATGATATTGTTTATTTTGTTCATTCAATTTTGCAGGTATCCATGCCTTCTCTGCCTCATCAGAAGCCATTTCTTCATTCAGAGGGTCGACCACAGATGTGCTTTAAAGGCCATCTGTACTAGTTCAGCCAAAGAGGATTAGACAACCCAGCAAGGTCACTGACGGGAGGCTATCTCATAAATTCAGTTCTCAATTAACATAAGAAAAAGAGGATCATGGGGGATTAACAGGCACAGATTGGGGAAGTTTTCTATATAGAGGGAGCAAGTAGCTAGAAGTAGTACAGTGGGGCTTTAACACTTCACACACAAAAAGGGAGATGTGTGATTGAGCGCATATTTATTAAATGCAAGGATGAGGACGTTCCATGCCTCATCAATACTAAGAGTATTTCAAAATACGGCCCCTCCCTGGTGTTCCCACAATACTTCGTAGTTATGCAGCATTACATCAAGTACCTGGGTGTTGAATATTTTTGATGTTATGTTTAGTTGATAAGTATTTGTTGTCACTCTGACGGTATTTGTAATTAAGTGTTCTCTATAGATTAAATGCACCCGATTTAACTATAATTAGCATTTTACTGCTGAGTTGAGGGGTGGGTCAATATAAATTATTTGGTTGGCAGCTAGGGGAGAGTATTCGAACAAATATTATTTACTGTACTAAGCGAAGTCAGAATTAAAGAACTTTTATGTGCAAATTTGAATTTTCGTCACCCATTTTGTTGTATTTCTGATTTTCTTTCTGCTAATAGCGCTACAGTGAGACTTTTAATTGGCCTTCCAGAGCCTCTCTTAACCTCTAGTGGGCTATATTTCATATAAGCATGCTACAAAATTTACAAATGTGAACTGCATTGTTTGAACAAACGGTAGATTACTATTGTGTTGTATCCTCAATTATTTATGTAAAACATGAAAATACAAATACAATATTCTTGCTTTCATATATTTACAAAGATAACTGAAATAGATATGTGTCAGATTATCTCTCTCTCTCTTTCTCCCTTTTTTTTTGGGGGGGGGGTGCAGATGTGTGTGTTTGCAGTTTGCATGGTTTTGCATTATGTGTTTCATTGCAAAAAAGAAGAAGAAGAGAGAGAGAAAGTTGAATAGAGAGAGAGAGGGGACAAAGAAAAAAATTAATAGAGAGAGAAAGGGAGGGAGAGAGAGAGAGAGAGAGAGAGAGGGCGAAAGAAAAAGAATTAATAGAGAGAGAAAAGGAGAGAGAGAGAACAAAAATGGGTATAGAAAGAGAGGAGGGACGGGGACAGAGAAAGAGACAGGGAGGGAGAGAGAGAAAGATGAATAGAGAAAGAGGGGAGAAAGAAAAAGAATTAATAGAGAAAGGGAGGGAGAGAGAACAAAAATGGGTAGAAAGAGAGAGGGACGGGGACAGAGAAAGAGACAGGGAGGGAGAGAGAGAAAGAAAAGATGGCCATAGAGGAATTTTTAAAAATTAATATTATATGGAAACAAATCATTTACCAGTTACAATTTTGATGTGAAAAAAATAGCCAGTTGGGGAAACAAACGGGGAACTAGTTAAAATAATAATTGATTGACCATTCTAACAAAATAACTATATAGATGTATAGTAATTAACAATTGCAATCAAATGAATTAATATATTAATCACAATAAAAACTTAATTCATATTAAATCATTATTATTATTATTATTATTAGGTGATTTTATTGATAAGAATTTGTAACCCCCAAAACAATAAGACTCTTACAGTTAATTTAAAAGAGCCCTTGACAACCTTAGATGTATTTATCTAACGAAGGTTTTCAGGTGCCGATGTCAATTTGTTCTGGGTCAGATTGAGTGCTTCACCAGCACCACACAAATGTGAGTACGTGGGGCACTTTCTGCATCGGCGCGCCAGTTTGGTTCGATTAATTCATGAAAATGCAATTCAAAAGTTTATTTCAGAGATGTTCTAACCATCATCTTTTCAAGATTGCTCATTAAGATGTCCGGATCGTACTAAGAATGCTTAGTTTAACAGTTTTTTCAATTCTTAACATTTAAACCCTAGCCCATAAAAATTATGTTAGAAACCCTATGGCTGAGACTAGTTTTACAAACCTTGGTCGGAGGTTTGGGAATTACAGACCAAGGTTTATACAAACCTTCCTTTGTGGAATGGGTTTGAAAATAAACCAGGTTTGAGCTCAGACCGAGGTTTGTACAAACCTTGGTCTGATCAAACCGGGTTTGTCCTCAGACCTCCGTTGTGAATTCGGGCCATTATGTTTATTACCTGTTTCGTGTCAATTTTCTTGTTTAATATTTTTTGAGTATTTTTCGGAAAACATTGATATTAGCATACACTTTTTCACAGGTTTCACGACAAGCACTACACCATACATACCCATGGTGGGTTGTGGACCGGGCGGGCGCGGGCCGGGCGGGCACGCGCCTGTGTGAAGTTATCTACCATAATGAGGATCTGAGACATATCACGGTAGATAACTTCACACAGGCTAGGCACACGCGCGCCTGCCCGCAACCCACCATCGGTATGCACTTGTAAGTATTGTGAAACCTGTGAAAAAGTGTAAAGGTCTAGTCTAGATCTACTATTTTTTTTTTATTGCATGCATTTTTTTATATCCAAAGGCAAAAGTGGTGGCTTCTTCATGTTTGTAAGTGTCCGACACCCAATTAACCCATACCCCATCCATATCCATAAGCAATTTAGCATTAACCACTAGACTATAGTATAGATCTAGTAGCTATCTGACTATGTGTTGCTGGTGTGCATCATTCACACAAGTTTCAACTATCACCCAATACGCATTAGCATTAACTCTCTATGCTTGCCTTTGCTGGAGTGCTATCACAGTGACTCAGTAATAACAACAAGGTCAAGGAACAAGGTTGTTTGAAAATTGAAATAGACTAACCTTGTTTCATTTCAGTCTGATCAAGTTTACAAAGACAGCATGTCGTCGACAGATTTAAATCTAAACCTACTGCAACTGAAGAAAGGTAAATTTAGTAAGATCAATCACTGAATCGAACTCGGAAGCAAGGTGGCGTGGCAGTACGTGCACATTTTTTGAAGAAAAATGGCGAATGTACAAAGGGGAATCCCCGGCGCGGCTGTGCGCGTGCGCGTTTTTTGTCTTCTAGTCATTTCAGTATCTCTAGTGTGGTTTGTGGTTGTTGTTTGTATTTTGGGCGTTCAGTCAAATTTGACTATATGCTTAAGTTTAATCAGTCGGGTACAGGGGCGTCTCCAAAGGGGGGGGGGGGGGTGGGGGTGCGCAGGCGCGCCGGAAGCAGTTTAGGATTGGGGGGGGGGCAAACATTCCAGGGCCGGGGCTCACCTTCCTGGGGCAGTACGTGAAGTACGTAATGAGAAAAAACGTTCGGGAGGGGAAGGGGGCAGACGAAAAATCTGCATCACCACCAGTCTTACACGTTACATGTAGGTCCTGCGGAACGTTTTTCAAAGTGGAGTATTATAACGATCAGGAAAGGCGTAAATTGGCGTGGGGTCCAGGGCGTGAGCCTCAGCAGGGGGTCAAGGGGCTGAGCCCTCGGAAGCTCAGGGGTTTTAGGTATTTAATAACGGTTAGATGAGCATCCATGTGCCCTCTTTAAGCCATTGACGTGTTCCAGGGGGGGGGGGGAGAGCCCTCCGAAGCTCGAGGTTTTAATATTTAACTACGCGGTCAGATGAGCATCCAGGGGCCGCCTACGGATGACATATCGTGTGATCGAATCTCTTTGTAAGTTGGGTACAGGGGCGCCTCCAAAGGGGGAGGGGGTGGGGGTGCCGGGTGCGACACCCCCCCCCCCACCTATCAGGTATTAATTGTCGGTAAAATTGCGCTGCCGTCGGAAAAAAAGAGAAAATGGGGAGGGGAAAAGCTAGAGAGCGAAAGAGAAAGAAAAGAAAAAAGGAAAAGGAAAAGAAAGAGAAAAAAAAAAAGAGGGAGGAGAGAAAAGAAAGAAAAAGAAAGAAAAGAAAGAAAGGAAGAAAAAAAGTTAAAGGGAAACAAAAGAAACGGGGGATGAAAGAGAGGAGAGAGAGAGGGAAGGTAATATAGCCTGAGAGAGGAGGAGTGGGAATAAAAGAGAGAAGGGGTTGTTGGGTGGAGTCGTCTCGTCGAGGGAGCAAGAAAGACACGGGTAAATATGTTGCTGTGTCGGCCAGGGGCGTACGCAGAATTTTTTCAAGGGGGGGTTTTAAAATCTGGCCCAAAATATTTTGCTCCCGAAAATTTGAAAATCGCGGGGGGAAGCGGACACTTTTTTTTTTTTTTTTGGTCTCGAAATTTGAAAATTTGACATTTTTTTTCGTAGGGGGGGGGGTAAGGTCACTTTACGTTAGCCGTGGGCATAATTTTTTTTTTTTTTTTAATTTAAAAAAAAAAAAAAAAAAAAAAAAATAACAAAGGGGGGGGTTTTTTAAAGTTTTTTTTAGGGGGGTTTACACACATAAAAATACCAAGGGGGGGGGTTTGAACCCCCAAACCCCCCCCCCCCCCCTGCGTACGCCCCTGGTGTCGGCTGTGTCGGTATTCTTGCTCGATCCTCGTGTACTTTACTGATGCAGAAGTTTGAAGTCGAAAGACCTGATGCATGGCTGATCTTCAACGAAACGGAGTTAAGTCTTTTTTCAACTCTGTTTGTTGCTACGGCAGGTAGCCAGTGAAAACGAACTCGTTTGATCAAATTATGGAAATGCAAGCATTACTTTAACAAAACAGAACTTTGTTATGTAAAATGTGATTTTCTTTTTGAAATTCAGATACCGCCCGCCAAAAGACTTTTTGGTTTCCTCTCTTCAAATAGCTTTTAATCACTCATGCGTAAAATATGAATCATATGAGTTGCATCAAATGAAAGTGGAGGATCTAAGCTTTTCAAATACGTGTCATTTATTAATTATAATTGTGATTAAGTTATGATAAAACATCGATAGTTCTCGGTTTCGTTTTTTCTGGGACGCACTGTATAAATGCAGAAGTTTGAAGTCGGTGAGATGTATATTGTCGGTCGGCCGACAAGCTTTTTTCCCTACGAACTGTGACTTTTTATCAGCTGTGACGACTTCGGGAGTGACTACAACCAGTGGCGGATCCAGGGGGGGGGGGGGGCCCGGGGGGCCCGGGCCCCCCCCCCCCCCTTGAGAAAAAAATCATGTAAAATCACGTGATTTTTACCTTTTTTGGGGGTTGGGCCCCCCCCCTGGCGCTCAAGGGGGGGGGGGGTGCAAATCGAAATTTTTTTGAGGATCAAAAAAAAAAAATGTGCTCACTACCCCCCCCCCCCCCCCCCCCCCCCCCCCCCACTGAACGAATTTTTGGCCGGCGCGTTTTTCAAATTTTCGGGAGCAAAAAAAAAAAAAAAAAAATTGTGCTCTTTCCCCCCCCCCCCCCCCCCACTGAGCGACTTTTCGGCCGGCGCGATTTTCAAATTTACGGGAGCAAAAAAAAAAAAAGTTGGGCCCCCTCCCCTAAGAAATCCTGGATCCGCGCCTGACTACAACTACAATACTACAGTATTTTCTCAAAGTTTCACTTTCCTATAATATCAGCTGAAGAAATCAGAGGTTTAAAATTGCCGGGGAAACTAAATTCAAACAAGGTTTAAGAGTCAACAACGGTACGACGAATCGTCTTCCTTTTTCTATATTGTGTTGAAACGCCAAAAATTCCGCGCTTTGCGCGAAAGGGGAAAATTTCATTTAGACGAGTCGAAATCGGTACAACGATTCGTCTTCTTTCTCTAATAATTTAAGGAAACGTCGAAGCTTCCGCGCTTCGCGCGAGAGGGGGAAACTGAATTCAGATGAATAGGAATTAATAAGAGTCAAAAATGGTACGACGAATCGTCTTCCTTTCTATATAATGTGATGAAGCACCAAAAATTCCGCGCTTCGCGCGGAAAAGGAAAACTGAATTTAGACGAGTCGAGAACGGTACAACGAATCGTCTTCTTTCTCTTGTCTGCTCGAAACAGAATCGGCTTTTCACGTTCGCTTGGTGGAGCGCATCCCCATCTTCTCCTCATCTCAACAGCCGTTGCAGCAGCTGCCTCACTCCCTTCCTCATTGACATCAACAAAGGCCTTGTGGATGACGGCAGAGATGTGCAACTCTCTATCACCTGAGATGCCTTCGAAGTTAGCCCTATCCTCATCAAAAGCGTCGGGCATTCCCATTCGTTTCAGAACCTCCTTCAGTTGGAATGTTGTTTCTAGTTTGAACTTTGGTAATAGTACGATCACTTCTCTTGATTTGAGCCCTGTGTCCCAGGATTGCAGGATGTCTGCAGAGAGCTTCGTCTCAAGTTGACCAAGGCCATCATCTTTGGTGGGAAGAGCAATCAATAGACTCAGATAATTGCGGCCTTGATAAGGCATCTCTAGCACAAGACAGTCATTGGTTTTGTCAACAGCCAAAGAAAATTTACCCTTTTGATTTGTCACCCCCAAGCCCACCCCCATCAGTATGTCAATGCCCCCCCCCCTCCGATCTATACATCTTGTTGGCGGGAAATATCGTAACTGATCTTCCCTACCTTTCTACTTTCTCTTTTTTTCTTTCCCTTGCTTTCCTCTTTTCCTTTCCTTTCCCATAATTCCTTCTCTTTGTTTTTAGGTTTGCTGGGGGTGGCAAGGCCCCCCGATCCACACGTTGTTGGTGGGATTAATTAGCAACTGTTATCCCCTTCTTTTCACCCTTTTCTTTTCTTCTTCCTCCCTTTTGTTCCCTTTTAGCTCTCTTCTTTCCCTTTCCCTTCCTTCCTCCCCCTTTTTTTTGGGGGGGGGGGCGGAGGCAAGGGCCTTTTGGCCCCCCAACTACAACTTGTTGGCGGGAAAATTGCAACTGATATCCCCCTTCTTTTCTTTTCTTCTCCCTCTATTTTCCTTCCCTCTCCTCTTTTTCTTTTTTCTTTCCCTTTCCATCCTTCTCTCTAATTTGTTATTGGGGGGGGGGGGGACAGCTGGGAGGCATGGCCCTTTCGCCCCCCGATCTCTTTCTTTTCCCCTCTTTTCTCTTCTTCTCCCTCTTCTTTCTTTTCCTTTCTCTCCTCTTTCCCTTCTTTTCCTTCTCTCTCTCTCTTTTTTTTTGCGGGGGGGGGGGGGGGGGGGGGCGAAGGCTCGCTCGGCCCCTGGATCCGCGCCTGTCTTATTAAAGCTGTTGTCAGTCTTTTATGATTAGGTTGTGCTTAAAAGTGAGGAAAACAAACATCACTCATCAGGATTGTTTTCTCCTCTTCATAAGATTTAATATTTTGCACTGCGTCGACCTCACAGTTAAAAAGAATTGTATTCATCCCCAAGAGTGGACGGAGTGGACTAGTCCAGAATCTGCACGGTCCTTCTGGATTTCCCTACACTTGATTCAAGCCGTCGAAGGTGGCGTTATCAACAAACTCATAATTATGCTCACCACCAGAGCATATAACACTGAGTTCCCATGGGCAATCTTTTTATTCAGATGGTCATATGTCAGCCAATACTTAACATATATATTCAATTGGTTTTCCACATTCGGACATTATTTTTGATGCTCTTTCGGAAAATGAAGAAAAAATTGAGAAATTCTAAAAAAATAGATTTTTTGATGATGTCACCCTTCACCACTCAGGTCATGACGTCATAATATAAATGTTCTTGCGTTTTGATACCCATTGTCTCTTTTTCTTCAGACGAGAATCATGTAATCGTTGATGGGTAAAGGTCACTGCTATTGTAAGCTGATCACCACAGACTGGTTATACTGGTTTTAATTATTGCTATACAACACACTAAACATAGAACCCACAAATTGAAATTATTCAACAGTATTAACAAGGGCAAATGCATAGGATTAACAAATATTGAAAACAAATATATACAACAATGTATTGAAATTTAACAACTACGGGGTTACATAACAAGCGCATAGCGAACTTCATTCCTGACATATGTTATCGTTGGTAAAAAGATTACTAATATACGATACTCACTTTCTTCCACATTAGCCAGCCCATGTGGAATTTTTAAGTAATATTATTGCCTGAATATCCCACGTACATATTAAGTAGCTTAGTTGAATTTGATACTTGATTGCTCATTATACAGAGTATATTATATGTGTAAATATATGAACGGTGTGATTGGAACTCATTTTTCCCTCGGACAGTAACTGCGTGGAATGCACTTTCAAAGATCACCCTTGACGCTACTTCACTGGAGGGCTTCAAGGGAGCGCTTCCACCAAGCATCTAGACCAAGAACTAGATAGTTTATTCCTCAGCACTACATCCTGACTTATGGATCCTGCTGAGTATCGTCGTAGAAGTAGAAGTAGAAGTATAGTGGTAAGCTGTAAAAATTGGGAATATATGGGGCAAATAGAACTGCATATAGATAATACAGTTATTATGCTGCAGTGTTCAACGTAATATGAGCTGATATTAATTGACAATTTCTCCAAGTGTAATTTACCGATGCCGCAGCCTCATTGTTTGTGTGTTTCACACGGCAGACAAGACAGAAGTGACAAATATCGCCACAGTATTTGTATTTTCAATAATATGAGAGGATACATTGCAGTTTTTGGTATACCTGGTCATGATCATTTTTCATTCTACGTGTATAGTTAAATACAACTATATAGCGAAATGCATTAGCATGCACGAGCATAAGGCCTACAAAAAAGATGGTGTACTGCCCTTTAGGTGCCAAAAACATGGGTCGGTCGGTCGGTCGGAAATGTTTTTTTTAAATACTTTTATTTCTTTTCCCCTCTTGGGGCAGATATTTTTCAGTTTTGAATGCTTTAAAACATATTTTTGGTATTCATTAAACATTTTTTCCTAAAAAACGGTAAAAAAAAAAGTTCCTTAATGTACATATAATTATGCTTTGTTGTTCTTTCGGCTGTTGGCCTCGTAAACATAAACGTAAACGTACTCCACTCGTTATCTAATGCCCATATAATCTACACTAACCCACATTAAAAATATCGCTCTCGAAAATGGGAAATATTACAGACATTATGTAGGCGTATACCGCAAAATACATATATATGTTTATCATACAAAACGGAAATTTCGTATACATATTGTAAATCAGCACTTAGAAGAAAAACAGAAATAACAAATACTTAAAAATGATTATATATCATGCGAAAAATTACTGCTTAATCTCTTGCTTTAGCCTATCGAAAAGATTTGTTTAGTTTGGTTGGGGGGGGGGGCGGAGGGGGGAGGGGGAGTGAGAACAATCTTACAAATTCAAATTCAAATTCAAATTCAAACTTTATTGATTTCGATCCAAACAGATTATACAATAATGTTGTGTCATTAAACTTTTGATAGAAAGGAACATAATGTGGATGAAAACGTGTCGTTATGGTGCAATTTCAGTAGGAACCTAGCTGACGTGATGATGGTACGCTGAGAGGGGAAAAGAAAATATAATACGACTGATGTGACACAAAGAGGATGGCATAAGAGAGAAAGGAATGACGAATATGTCATGAAAAGATATGGTGGTGACAGAAAGCAGTAATGAAGAGGATGCTCGAGACAAGAAGAAGAAAAAGTAGAGGGAGGAAGTGTCATCATGGCGCGAAAGTCATTAACTCCTCATACGAGGGAAAACGCTGACTTGAATAAATGATGATGATGATAATGAAGACGATAGGAGTAAACAAACTACACAAAGAAGGCACAGTTCACGAAAACGAAACAAATGGGGATGTAACTATTATTATAAATGTACATTACAATAAATGATCGAAACGTGAGACATTAAAAGCGAATCGTGCTAGAAAATAAGTCTCAGTGAGGCTAAGACATACATATGAACAATTTAAATGTATATGTATTATACATTGTTATTGGCGTGGGTGTCAATCCCATGGGGATGGGGGGATATATTCCCCCCCCCCCCCCCAATATTTCAGGTGTGGGGATGGCCTGTACAATCACCCCCCCCCCCCCCAAAAAAAAAAAGAAAAAAGAGAAAATTAATGATGAGATCCCGATGAGAGTAGTTAATGGTTATTACTTGCAAGATGACCATCAATATACACATTTTGCTATCTCATTTTCATAATACATACATATATAAATAGAAAACGAAGTAAATGAGACAACCGTATATGAGACAAGAATAAATTGAATTCTCGCTCATACGGCTTCATCAGGAATTGATGAATTTATTTAATTTATTCAATCAACAGCATCATGCAAAGGCACCGCTAAAAAGCAACGAGCTAAATGTTAAGCGCGAAGCGCAAAAGTGCAAAAGAGAAGTAGAGAGTGGGGGAGAGATATAATGAGAGACAGAGAGGATAATAACACAGGTAGTAAGCCCATGTGGGACCCACATGGGTCTCATATTCTCTGAAACATAGGCCCCATATGGAAAACCATCTAGGGCCCTAAGCAGGGGCGGCGATCCCCGGAAAATTTGAAAAAGTGCAAAAAATAATGTACAGCAAATACTGACCAAAGACTGCAACACACTATTAGACTGTGGAGGGCCCAAGAGTGCAGCGTTTAGACAAATAAAAATGCAAAAATCTTTTGGCTCGGGAGCTATGCTCCCTCGCATAATATCCTTCAAAATGTACAAGTAAATATTGTAGAAAAGTGAAGTGTGAAAAAAGTATATTGTTTGTTTTCATACTATAGTTTTGTAAAGGAACATAATTTTGTAATACAATAAAACTTCAAAACCTGTGAGGGGGTATAGTCACTTTCGTCACTTTTACCCCTCTCGTTCACTATGCTCACTCATTCGGGCTTGGGGCAGTCCCCCCCCCCCCCCGATAAAATTCAAACGTGGTTTATTTCTAATTCGATACCAGTGACTAATTCACAAATCTTGCTGAAATGGCATGATTTCCCCTGAGCTTCCGGGGGCTCTGCCCCCTGTACCCCAACAAGGGCCCTAAGGCGGGCCCCCTGGTTGCTTAGCTGACCATAATTAAATGCCTAAAACACGTGAGTTTCCGGGGGCTCCGCCCCCTAGACCCCACCAGGGCCCTAAGCAGACCACTGGATGCTCATCTGACCATATTCAAAAGCCTAAAACCCTGAGGTTCCGGGGGCTCCGTCCCCTAGACCCCACCAAGGGCCCTAAGGCGGCCCCTGGATGCTCATCTGATCGTAATTTAATGCCGCTGAGCTTCTAGGGGCTTCGTCCCCTGGACCCCACTCTGATTAGTGACCTGCATGCAGGTGTCACAAATAAGGTATCAAAATATTCTCATCTGATCCTTATTAAATGCCTAAAAACTCCGAGCTTCTTGGGGCTGCGCCCCTTGAGCCCCGCCGGGGCTTGCCCCTGGACCCCGCGCCAATTTACGCGCCACTTGCCTTGCTCTATCTGAACGCAAATACTTTAGCCCCCCTCCCACTTTGAAAAAACGTTCCGTGGGGCCTGCATGTAACATGTAAGAGCGGTGATGATGCAGATTTTTTTTCTTCCCCATCCCCCCCCCC